AATATCATACTACTACTAGTAGTAGTACTGTAGTAAATAAAAAAGGCATTTGTAAGTTTTGCTTTGTTGACTCCTGTCTTCCAAATCATCTATTGCACGAGATTACGTGTACTCTTAGTAGTAGGTGTTTAAGTGTGTATGAAAATTGAATTATAAGATTAAGATTACCGAGCGCGTTTACGAGAATTCCGAAGTTCTGATCAGAAGMTCRTGTAGACMTGGTAGGGATTCTACATGAMGCTTCTCTATTCCGGACTCGTGACATCTCTATTCTTCGTGAGGTATTCTTGAATAGTATCTTAGTCCTCTTACGATCCTCGGACCTCTTACGATAYATCCTATGATACATACATAGGAAGCGTACATTACGATAGGTACGTAGGAATGGTATGATCCTTCATTCCTTTCTTCGGAGCTTCGTATCGTATACGTACGTATCCGTTGCATCTATTGCATCTTCGAATCCTTCCTGTACATAGAATAATTCCTGTACTCCATATTTCCCAGAGAAGATTGGACAGGTTCTTTTCAGCCTCATAGCAGGGATTTGGATTGTCCTTAGATTGGATCCTCTGCTGGAGGTCTCTGTCCTTGTCGGGTGATCCACAAAGAGGCTGATCTCTTTGATGTCACTCTCCTTGAACTTATCCGCAAGGGTAAGGCATGATTGATATGAGTTTCGATTTCGTGAAGAGGAGTTCATTGATTTCACCATGGTCGATGTGGTATTTTGGTTGTTTTCCTTGATGGATGATTAATTACAATCAGTTAGTAATTACTGTGCACAAGATTACGTGTACTCTTAGTATGTTTTAAGTGTGTATGAAAATTGAATTATAAAATTAGAATTATTTGAAGATTACCAAGCGCGTTCATGAGAATTCCAAAGTTCCGATTAGATCCTCATGTAGATCTGGTACTGAATCTACTTGAGGATTCTTCTATTCCGGACTCGTGACATCTCTGTTCTTCGTGAGGTATTCTAATACCTCTTATCTTGGACCTCTTACGACGGATCCTATGATACATACATATAAACAGTACCTTACGATAGGTACGTAGGAATGGTATACTCCTTCATTCCGTTTCTTCGAAGCTTCGTATCGTACGTATCTTCCGATACAGTACGTATCTGTTGCAAAACTGCTACTTCTAGTAGTACTACTACTAGTAGTATCTGATTTTGCTCTTCTTGTTCTTGTTGTTGTCTGGATGGTGGTGGTGATGAACAASAAGCAGAATACTAATATTTTTGGTGGTGGTGGGATTGTAGTAGTAATGCAAGAGTGAATCGAAGTATTTAATGAGTATGGAGAGGACAGATTGATTATACAGTAGATAAATCTCACCCTCCTTGGCGCTGGCAGACCTGGTACTAGTACTACTAGTAGGAGGTGTACAAATCACGTGTTCCCCCTGTGAGACAGGGTGAATCAGTGACGCAATGACAAAGCAACTTTCGTGAAGAGAGGGGAGAAAGTCTGTGTAGAAAGAGTTGTGTGCAAGGACAGTGAGATGGAAGTGCATACAAAAAAGATCAGAAAATGCAATACTGTTTGCCAAGAATGAATGGAAATCTTGCCACATCTTCTTGCGCAACCACCCAGTGACCGGTTAAGGGTCTTTGACTTGCAATTAGGATCCTCTAAGTTTCAACTGCTGTGGTGAGCAATGTTAATTGTGGAGCTGCATCACCAATCACCTGCATCACCAAGGTGTGCCAGTGATTCCTATACTAGATAAGCTCGCATGGTACTCTAGGAATTGTTGATGCCAAGTGAACCAAGTCTCTAAGAGCCATGTCTCTCACAATGAAACGCAAGGTTTTCTCAATTCTTTCCACATAGTTGTCTACTTTGGTTTTGAAAACAGTTAAATCCTTTGAGCCTTGGTTGAACCTTCTGTCAGGTTTGGGCATAGGAGGGAACTGTACATGATAGAAGTACCAGTGAAAAACAACTCTGGCGAATGTCAAGTACTTGATAATGGTCTCTGCCATTACACATGTAGAAGTGGCAAAATAGTTGACAGCCTTGACACTGTCTGATGGCGTGGTATTCAGAAATAGATTGTTCCTTGGCAACAGGTTGTTGAAATCGTCCAATTTGTTATCAAAGTAGTAACAACACTTTCAAAACTGATTCCTTGGGATGACTCCCAAAAAACTTCTGTTGCTTGAGGTGTCATTGCAAAGAACAATATTGACCAAGGGGTGAATGGTCCTCAGAATATCACCACCAGCTTCTTTGCCAGACGCTTGTTTGATAGATGGACAAGTTATAACCATGTTACTGGCAATGTAAACACAAGTTGTGAGTTCTGTGAATGGTGTTAAGACCCGTCAGCTTACTGCTTTGCCAAAATTATCATCACAGTAGTACTAGTCTTTGTTCTCCAAAGCATCCTTCATGGCTTTTGCAAGAAACATTCACTTTTCTTCCCAACAAACGCTGGCGTTAGATAGCACTGCCTTCACACAAGGGTCAGTTTTATGTAACATCACTTGAGAGTTAGTCATGGTGGGAATGTACTCGTACTAATTGACACCAGTGCAGACTGCAAGGAGACAATTTATGATCCAAAAATGCAAAGAAGAGATTTGACCTGTATATGGGGTGAGAATATCAACCAAGACTCCATTCTTATGGTCAACATAAAGCATTGTTGGTAGTAACAGTGAAATCTTCTCAGATTTTCAGTTAATAACACCAGCTGGTGAGGAGCAAAAGGTCAAAACCAGGAACACCATTCCTGGATTTGGCACAGTGTGTTTTTGAGACAGTACACAATACCACAAGGGCTAAGGGATTTTGATTTCTGAACATGGTTTTCTGTTACATGACTGTTAGTCCAAGTGAGATATAAGAGAAACAGACAGGTCCTGGAATGCCATTCTCTGTTGTGATAGTGTGGGTTTTTGAGCTGGAGTTCAAACCAGAAATTCAAAGAAGGAAGGAACTCAAACTTGAATTTTGCAGGGGGAAACAGAAGAATCAGTGAACCATGGGGTAGTGGAGGTACAATTAATTGGCATCAATAGTAGGTACATGTAGTATTCAGTCAGATGGAAGATGTGATACTAACATTGTAAACCAGTTGATGTGATTACTTGGGTACTTAATTGGAACAGTAGTATCCTACCATACACACGGGGCCCTAGGAACACTTACAAGAGCCCTTCCAGAAAAGTTTGGTCCCTGAACTGATATTTGTACCAAGGCTAGGGAAATTATGTGGCAGGCAACAATGTGCACCTAAGATTCTCTAGGAGCATGCATATCAGAAGACAAAATAAAACTTCAAATGAAAACAATGCCATAAAGTTGTAGGTAATAAAAAGTTACTATTGATGCTAATAAAAGATCATTGATTATATAAACACTCATCATAGGTATATTACTAGAACAGTAAGTTGTTTGACAAAAGATTGCCTGGAAATATTTTGACAACATGGGAGGTGATGAGCCTGTTGTATTTATAATATTCGACCCCTAGTAAGAAAAATGATTGGTATGCATCATTCTGTTTTGGTTTAGGTTGTAGGAGCTGGTACATCCATCAGAGCATTGATACCAGTACTCATAATGGTTACTGACACAAACAGCATAGAGGGACATCAAGAAGATGAAGTGATTAGGGCAATCCAAGTACATACAAATCAGCATGAGACAGTCATGAAAATTAAACCGGTGCGGCACATCAAGGAAAGATTTTTAAGTACATGAAGCTTCCTGTTGAAGATGACATTGTACAAGGCATCATCACAGTAAACCCCAAAAGTATGTTTGGTACATACCCTGTTCCAGAAAGCTTAGTGGTCTCTGCAGCACAGTGGAGAGGGACTGTCAACGGCGCAATCACTGCTTGCAGACACAAGGCACAAACATTGGTGAGGAAAAATTGCAAGGGTAAGCAGAACCAAAGAAAGTATAGGCATTATGTCTGATGCAAGTGAGCTTATTTGAGTCTCATGACCATCAATCTTTGCTTGTACATACAGATGACAAAAAAAATGTAGTGCCAGATTTGTTCAGAGTCAATACTAGCTTCATAGCAGAAGGAGCTGGCAGAGAGACGTACATGTTGAGAAGTAGCTACAGACAAGAAAAGAGTCCAGAATTCAAGTACTTTGGAACAAGAATCTTAGGGGCAGTGTCTCCTAAACAAACATAATTCAAGTGAAGGCAGCACAGGAATAAACTGAGCACCATTTTCACTGCAATGGATGAAGCTTTTGCACTACTGTTTTTGTACAACAATTACAAATTGTGGAATAATTATGGGATTGGAAAGAAAACCAGAAAAAGATTCACTGACAGTATGAGTGGTAACAAAGAGGGCTGGAGCTACAAGGGATGTATGCTGTTCTGGAAGCTAATTGAGGAAGGAAAGAAGCAAAGAGCTGGCAAGGATTGTTCAGAAGAGATTGAACAAGCACTAAGGGCAGAGTACAGAAAAGACAATGTAGAAGATGAGGAGGATAGAAATAATAGAAAAAGAAAATTGTGCAAAATGGAAAAGAATTTTCATCAGAAACAATAATGGGAGGATAATGAGATCTTAAATGAACTGAGGTCAAATATACAACCGGTAAAAATACCGAACTAAAAAATAATGACACATTGTGGAAACCAAAAAGAGTGACAGCAACAATACCAAAATTCCTGCCTTGAAATTTTCATTTCAAATTAGATAGAATTGTTGAACTTTGAAACAGAATTGGCAGCAGCAGTAGAAGAGTTGTTACTATGCAGCAGAGAACTGGCAATAGGGGAGAAGAATTGGAATCCAACTAAAGGAATAAAGGTAATCCAATTAAACGCTTCATAGCGACACAAGATACTGTCAAATGATTAAGATAATTTGTCAACAAACAGAGAAAAAAAAACTCCTTGGAATATCTGCTAATACCAATTCTGCACGGAGATAAACCAAAATCCAAGAAAGCAAGACTCCAAAAGCTCTATACGATACACTACTACATGCAGACTTCAGCCAATGTGAAAGAAACCGTTCTATTTTGGAAAAAATATCTGCAATTCAGCACTGATTATAAAATCTGCTCTTGTCAATACTTCGACTTAAAGTTTTCAGATATGCATCCATCCCTCTCATACCACCTCTATCATCGTCAATAATTCTTCGTATCTTGCCTTCTTCCGGCATGATCACCAGGCATTTCACGCGTTCCAATGATCTCAAGAAGCTGGCATCTTGACAAAGCATTATCAAAGTACCATTCCATTCTCGCAAACTGTATGCGAATGCCTGGACACTTTCTGCATCTAAGTGTGACGTAGGATGCTCGAGAAACAAGATTGGAGGATTCTCCAACATGATTTCCGCCAGCACAAAACGAAAGCTTTCACCTCCACTCAAGCAAGAGAGAGAAGTTTTGGCCTGACTTGTCTGAGAAAGACCGAAAGCTGCTAAGTGACTGCGAAGATCTGTCTCGTTCTTCTTTGGATACCGAGTGGAAAGGTATTTCAACGCCGTCATGGCGGGGCCAATGCTAGAAATTTTGTCTTTCAACTCACGACAGTCGCAATAGCCAATGGTGAGCCCCGAAGAATGATGCACTGTGCCTTCGGTAGGCGCAAGTTTCTTTGCTAGTATCTTCATCAAATAGGAAGTGGATGTGCCAGGGCCTAAAATACAGGTTTGCGATCCTTCTTCAATGCACAAATCTACACAATCGAACAGGAATCCATCTCGCTTTTCGATAGCGACATCAGCATTGCAAAGTTGAGATTCCTTAGGCTTTGTACTCGAAAAATCTTCCTTTGTACCATATCCAACATCAAATGCTGTTATTAGTGGCTCTCCCCATTGAGAGGTCACCTTCGGCAGCCTAAAAGGGAAAGGATTGGACAAAACGAAACAGAGAATAAGAATCTTCTGATACAAAGACGCAAAATAATCACCGGAGAATGGCATGATAACTTACGCGAAGTGCACTGCTTTGTCCGGAGCAGTTTTGGTAATTTCGTTTAATTTCAATCTCTGCGTTAAACTAAGGCCTTTCCTATCCATTGGGATGTCTGCAGATGATTCCAGTATTTGCATATCTTTCACGTGTTTCTCGATCTTTTTACGATGACTTTGAACTGACTTTGCTTTTTTCTTCGCACCTCCTCGCCGTTTCGGTACTGGCTTGTCTTTCAAGTGTTGAAGAGTGCTGTGAAGTTCACTGTTTTTCCTTTCCATGGCTTGAGATTGTTTTAGAAAATGAGATTCTTTTTGATCTTTCATCAGTCGGTAGGAGTCATAGTTGCCAGGAAAATACCAAAGTTTCTGAGCGCACATATCAATTATATCTGTTGCGACATCATTAATTAGATCAATATCGTGCGACACAATCAATACTGTGGTAGAATGAGCAAAATTGTCTACTATCAACTGTCGGAGTCGAATCAGCCCGTGGACATCTAGATCATTGGTTGGCTCGTCCATCAGTAATAGATTCACGAATGGGCAGCAGATACAAGCTGCACAGAGCAATACTTCTTTTTGTTGGACCGGCTGCAATTCTTCGCACAATTTGATTTCATCGATGCCAAGCTCTTCAAATAGATCCTTTCGTTGTTTTTTCAGCAGCGAGTCTTCGAAATTCAGTTTATCTTCGAGTGAGGAAAGCTCTTCACACAAAATTTCCATTTTTTCTTGTTCGTTTTCTAAATCCAGGCAATCAATGCGGTCTTCCAACTCACTTATTTGTGACTCTGTTGCCAGCCGAGAATCTTTCTTGCATTCTTCGAGATATTTTGTCACGACCTGCATTGGAGTCAATTGTAGATATCCGGGGGGTAGAGTGGGCGGCAGATACAAAGATGACCATCTGACACTCCATCCAGGTATTGTTTGCGAATGCATCTTTTTCAATAACGTGGACTTGCCACATCCATTTCGTCCGACCAAGCAATATACATGGTTGTGCAATAATTTGATTGTGGCTCCCTCCAAGCAAGTGTCTCCCAAGAGGTATTTCAATCGAACATCTTCCACAACCACATTATGCGGCTGGATTGTCTTCCGAGCAAGCCCCCGACCACCTTTTCCTTTTCCGCCCCACAAATTGTAGGAGCGTGCGGATTGTGAAGACTCTTCGTCTCGCTGCTCGGCAAGAATCTGCTCCCAAACGGAAGCATAGCAGTCTGTATCATCCAGAGAAGAAAGTTGGGCTTGAGTTACATCCTCCGAAGCAGGCATTTCTTGAAGGCTCTTTACCGCGACGAAATTATTTGGGTTGGACGATTCAGTGTTTTTGCTACCGTACTGCGTTGTCTCAATATTGATTTCAATGCCAACTTCCAGCATTGACATCATTTTGATGCGCATCAAGCATGGTTGGGGGCATCAGTTTGACAAATCCTACCGTTTGGAATTCAATCACTTGTTAGTTGTGACGCAAGATTCAAGACTGTTGGTGATAGCCAATCGAACCGTTTCGTGCGGTACGAAATCCAGTACCAGGTACGGTACTGTAATTTGGCCGGGCTACTTTGCCCGTAGTATGGAAATAAAATGGTGGTAGTCAAATAGCTAGTACAAGCGGTAATACCGTAGCATACTGTACCTGCCGTACGTACCGTACGGTAGGAACTTCGTTGACACATCAAGTTTTAGAAAGGTCGACAATTTTGCTCTTTTCGAAAGATTCTCAGTTATGGACGGCCAAAGGGACTGTTTTCAATAGCATCATTTTGTTTGGACTCTGTAGTCGTTACAGTAATACCGCCTGTACTCGTAAAGCCTTTTGAAAAAGCAAAGAAAAATTACAAACAACGACGAGTGTCCAAAGGAAGAGACGAGACGCAGAGATGGATAAAATCGAAGACGAAACCATAACATGAAGATCACTAACAGCGCCGCTGCCACCGTTTTAGGGTCTACCTCAGTGGTTTTTGCACTCGACCATGGAAGTAGCAGTAGTAGTAGCAGAGACTCATCGGGATCCTATTTCGTCTCGAGTGGATGCTTATCCATTGATGACTTATGCGAAACAAACGACTACTCGAGTTTTTGTAGTTTGTTGAAGAAACATGACTTTTACGATAGAGTATCGACCGGAACCTGGACGATGTTTGTTCCGACAAACCAAGCATTCGATCGCGTTTCGAACGGATTGGCGAGTTTGGATGATCATAGTCTATCGAAAGTTTTGAAATCTCATTTGGTTGAAGGCGACCTTGTGTCGACCTTAAACTCCGTGTATGAAAGCGGTGATTACATATCTGTAGGTCGTACGGACCCGGAAAATCTCCATTCATCGGAATCACTATGCGGCGGCGGTGTTTACTATATTTTGAACGAAGTTATCTTACCGCCCAGCATTTTTTCCGATATGTCGTGAGTATTAAAAGTGTTGACTTTGCTTGTATCCTTTTGCAATTGCCCTGTAACTGTTGCTAGTATGGGCCTAACACATATCGTATCTATGGTTGCTTGTCTTGAAAAATGGCATTGTGGTTTTGGCTCGACAATAGCCAATTCGTTCAATCCAAAGAGGATAAATCTGTTACATCCACAGATAACCTTCCAACGTCGTGTTACGTGTCACCGATGTGCAACGATATCCCGACTAAGGGGTACGTCGACCCTGGTTCTGGTTTTACCAATTCGACGGGTTTTGATACGGTGCAAACCGACCAGTGCTGTAATATTTGTGCGGATGGCGGAGTGACGAACATTGGTCCTTACGATTATCTTTTGTTAGACCTCATGTGGAACCCGACGTTTTGTAATGCATTGGAAGACGGCCACGATTTCACCCTAACGCACATGCCAAGTATGCGTTGCTCTCCGTCTTTGTCAGAACGTTTGTCCATCCATGGCCTCTGGCCTAGCTGGCTCAAAACTTTCGGTACCTGTTGCAACGCAACTGGTTCAAACAAACCATTGGATCCCCATGAGGTGACGAACGAGTGGGATAATAGTTTGCGGTTAAGAATGTTGGAAGATTGGTACGATCCGGTCCTCTATAATGGAAGATTTAACGAAGATAATGGTTGTCAAATTTGCTATGTTCAAAACCACGAATGGCAAAAACATGGTGCGTGAAAGGAAGCTATCTTAGAAGTAGAAAATATTCGAACGGACAATGTGTACCGATCACAACATCTTTTTATGATGCTCACCTCGCCACCTCGCCACCCCAAACCTTCGACTTCGTATTTTTCAGGACTATGCTATACTGACTCACCAGAAGAATATTTTCAGGCCGGTTTAGATATGTATGACATAGTAGAAGAACAGAGAAAACAAATAGACTCAATGCATGGAACGATCATAACCGTGAAAGATATTGAGATACTGTTCCCGAAAAAAGTCAATGTAGTGTGCGATCCACAGGCATCAACTAGTACCGATAAGTATCAAACGTTTTCGGAATTACAAATTTGTTTCGGAGATGAACTGACCATCATCGACTGTCCCGCTGCGACCTACGAGTCGGTAAGTAGGAAGGGTCCACGAGAGGAATAGTTGTACGGCACTTGTACGCACGAAACTCAACCGAAATGCTCACTCCTCGTTCTTTTCTTTCCCCACTTCTTTCATGTTTCTCAGAATTGGACTACAGCTTGCAAACATTCGATCATGATTCCGAGTTTCCTATAGGCATTTTCAGATATTATTTCATGTTACAAGAAGAGGCAGTTCTTCTTCTAAACGCCTTGAAGAAAAAATTGATAGTTTTCTGTATTCGAAGTGTAATGCTATTATCAAAAGTGGAAGCAACTCGAAGTACCTATTTTTATCCCCAGATCCCGTCCTTGCGCATTTGGACCCCGTCATGTCAAAATGATTCTCATTCAACAGATCTACCACGGAAGGTTTAGACTCTCGTCTTTCTTTTGCTTTGCTTTTTTTGCCTTTTCCTTCGTACGTTTCATCAGGTTCTGGCACTTTGCAACGATCACAGCTTGCTCCTCTTCTACTCGCTTATTAAAGTATATGTCTGAGTCCGAGGTCAATCGTTCAATGAAAGAGATTCGCGTATTATTAATGGATGTCATCCTTGTAAGATCGGTGCACATTTCTCCAATAACGTGATCCAAACCTTCACTTTCGTTCTCTTCACTTTCACCGTTCGTAATTAGGAGTTCAACAGTAGGATAAAGTGGTTTCTTTATCAAACCAGCTTTCGACAGATGAACGAAGGTGCGCTCCTCCCTTGAGAGTTCAGAGAAATCGGCAACATCAAATTTTGTATGCTTGTCGAGTTTTCCACCTTCAACAGCCTTGATTTTTGATTCGATCGCGCCGACGTCGTCATCGTCGTCAAGAAAACTCAGCGACTCTTCGTCATCATCGTCGTCTTCATCGTCATTATCTGTGTCATCATCGCTTACTTCTTCTACTAACAACGACTGCAATCTATCAAACAAAGAAGTGGATGATATCTGTTCCACTTCTTCTTCTTCGTTCTCTGTATGACCGAGTATCCTTGTTGGTACAGTTTGGAATGGATGTCGAGAATGAACTTTTGGAGATTTGATAGGCACTAATCGTTTGGATGCCGCAGCCTTGCTGTAGAATCCGGCAGCTTGAAGCCAACTCCACATTCGCGTTGTGTGCAATGGTGGCTGTTCTTCTGGCACGGGGTCTAGCCTATCTACTGTCTTCTCTTTGTGCTGTGAACTCTCTAATTCCAATGCTAGTTGCGAAACTCTTTCGATGATTTGTTGTCGTCTTGCGATCGGAGTCGAATCTGCATACGACTTCGGAACTGGTACAGCTGGGACCTGAGGGTTTGGGGGAATGACTTTGGTTTTCAATTTGTCGGCTTGCTTTTCTTTCTTCTTCTTTTTTGCTAGAATTGTCATTGCCGCCTTCGGACTTGCAATTGCTGCAGACGCAGCGGATGAGCCCTTCTTCGGTTCGTTGGCTGCGGCTGATGCCTTGGAAGTTGTTGGAGCACTCGGAGATTGCAACGGTTTAGGAAGAACAGCATTGAAAACAATTGCTGGGAGCATTGCATATAAAGGCATACTATTTTTGGCTTCTTTGAATCCAGTGCATGCAACTTTCACCCTTACAACACCGGTATGGCATTTCCATTTGGTAATTTTAGGTTGCTCAATTGGAGGTTCGTATGTCTCTTTGTATTTTTCATCGTCAAATTCATTTTTACACCACACTTTCATATTATCCAGTGTCTGTTTCAAAAAGTTGTATTCCCGAGTGAGAAGTCCACACATGGCAAATACGTCCCGAACCAAACTGTTCTTATCCGCTTTCTGAATTATTTTCCGCAAATGAAAAATTCCTCTCAAAAGTGCTACTCGCTTTTCGGGCGTGAAGTTCTTCTTATCCTTCTCGTTCCCTTCGTACGTATCAAGCATGAGCTTAAAAATGGCATTGTCTTCTATCACTCCCAGGGATGCTGGATTAGTTGGATCAGGTTTCGCAGATAACATTTGACTGGTCAGGGTACTGGATAAACGATCCATTACAGGATAAGTCTTCCGCTTTTGCATTGTTGACTCCGCTGGAACCGATTCCAGAAATGGGTAAAATAATGTTTTTGAAGGTGCAAGTCCGCCATAGGTGGGTTCTGGTTTGGGAGGCTTGATGACTTCGGTAGCAGCTAGCGCCACGCTATCCGAAGCACCATCAGCGTGCTTTTTGAGTTTTCGCTTGACCTTGGTAGTTCCCACTTTTTTCAAACGACCCCCAAACTGACCGGCTGCCGCCACAGAGGAATTTGGTAGCACCATTGATGACTTTGTAGATTTCGTTAATAGAGAGTTGCTGGCACCAAGATGACTTGATCCTTTCACTATAGAAGCAGATGCCGTACCAGTGAGCTTCTTCCGTTTCGTTTTGGCTGAGGAGACACTGGAAGCATCATTCAACTTCTTTGTTTTTGCGCTTGCTTTACGCTTCTTCTTTGGTGGAGGTTGTTCTTCCACCGCAGCTTCATCATCATCTCCAAATGCAGCCGGAGCCTTTGACTTGCGTTTGGTTTTCCTTCGCTTATTTCCCGGAGACGTGACAGCCGTTTCTTCCTTTGCGACGGGTTTCTCGAGCATTGGATTGGTTCTTTTCGTTCTCGGACCCCCGGTTCGTTTTGTTTTTGGTGCTGGAGCGGGTTCACTAGGGGGTGCAACGGGAGCTGGTGCGGCATCATTCGATATTATGTCTCCCAAGGTGTCGTCCAATGCAATATCCAGGCCGTCAAAAAGCATGTCACCTCCCCCCCCGAAGAGGTCATCGATATCTACTTCATCGAAGCCTTCCATTTTGGTGCTATATTTTATTTTATTTTTATTCTCGAACTTATATCTACCAATGGGAAGCGAAAGCAGACAGCATCTGTCTATCTAAGCAGACCGGATGTTGCTTTCAGTTGACCATGGTAAATATGTTGATCATTGATCATGCATTTTTGAAGTTGATTGTGATATCTGTACCCTACCGTAGTCAGGGGTCGACCGTAGTATGGTACGTACTTTACTTAGTACAGTAAGTAAATTACCGAAATTGAAAATGGGTCAAATTAGTCGATTATTTTTTTGAGATGCCGTCTACTCATGAGAAAAAAGTGCGAAGAAAAATCATGGAAGTCGAAGACTGGAATTGTCCTTCTGGAGCTAGGGAGTTTGAGGGGGAGAAAAATGTAAAAACATGGTATCAACAAATTTTTAATGTAGAGCATGTACTAGGTTGAACGCGTTTTTTTTCTGTAAAAATATAAAGTTACGGGAATGAGATGCCAGCATATATAACTCATTGGAGGTGGTGGCGTGCGATGTACGAAGTAACAAATAACAAACTTTCGACTTCCCCTGCCTGCGCACCGCAAAAGACATAATCCTGGTGTTGATACTGGTTCTACGGTACGACAGCGTACGCACCGTAGGAACCGTTGAACAAATCTTCCTGTCATGCTCTTTCCCGTTGGCAAGCGCGAGCAGTTCGCTCTTAGTACGGTAGTACATACTGAGAACAAACATCCTACGAACTCATGTCGTACGGTATGTATTCGTACTCCAGGAGTAGTCGGAGGGATTTACTGTAATTTACTGTAAAAACAGAAAGGAAAAAGATACCTGCACATTTTCAATCCATCCGTGTGAACAGAATTTTCACTTTGACAACCGAGGCAGCAAATAAGGTGTCCAAGCGAAGGAGCATCTAGTTGCTCCACTAAGCTTTCCCTTGTGCTGAAATTTATCGTAGCACTATGGACGGTCAAAAATATTCACAAGTGTCTGCTACAGGAGACGAGAATGAGGATGCCATCGAACTCACAGGAGTGTCCTTGAAGAATCGTTCGTTCGACGAGGAGGACGGGGAAGACCACAGTCTGACCGATCAATTTAGTGACGAAGACGTTTATGAACGTGATGATGGTCTAGAGAACAGAATCAACAATCGTGTTTTCAATGGTGGACATGCAAGGCTTCCTATGGAACTGATAGAAGAGCAACTATTATGGAATGTCTTCAATCGATGGGAGGAACCTAGTTTTCTTTCACTACTTGTCACCACATTCTTTTTGATACCGACTCTTGTGATATGGATGTATGGTGCTTTTGAATTCGTGGGGAAATGGTGGGCTATCTGGATAATAGTACTGCACATGCAACTACGGCTTTCCATCTCTACATGGTACATCAAGAGTACTTCTACGGTGGGCTTCGCGCATCGGTGGTCTCTTCGAAAGATGTGCTCGTTCGTGACTATCTTCGAAGTATCAATGTGTGGGATAGTCTATCCTTTAATATGCAAAATCATCACCGATGCGTTTTTCCGCGACGTGGATGGGGCCATCATCGCAGAATGGACGAAAGAAACCCGCTTCATGGTGGTTGGGGTTGTGATGGGTTGGCTGGTCGTGGCATTACGGTGCTGTATTGGTCTTCCGTGCATAGCAATCAGAGTAATGAAGTACAAGGATCCAGACATGTACCGAGAATATAGACCCATTTATTGGACTCCATTGGGCGAAGAGGGTTCATTGCAAGATGGTACTCGAAATGTGCTGTATTGTATTTTTCTTTATCTTAATTTCTTTGTTTTCGGATTGAACTTAATGTGCATTTTATCTCTCATATCTCATTTTGGGCCGTGGCCACCCGGCCTTTCTCTTCCAGAAAATTGTGATGGCTTGGATGCAACAGAATGTGCACTGCCGTTTCCATCCTTTCATCACATGAGAGAGGACACGAAAAGTTATACGGGGTGGCGGGTCCACCTGAAGGGCATGCCCCCATTGCGCGGAGGAGTCCCATTTCATCCAAAATTTCTCAACGACTTGGACGGTTTCAGCACGAGTAAGTACTAGTCATGAATCAACTTTGTACGAGACAAAAAGAAGAACAAACGAAATCAATCTTTAGTTTATCAACTGAAATCAATTTGCTTTATTCTATGATAGTGGGGCCCATTCTTTTTTATATAGACGGGTTAAAGGTATGTGTAGCCAAATGTCGTTGCAACTTTTGCAGAATGAAACACGCTTGTCTCAAATTGTTTGACCTCTTCTTCTGGGCTTTCAAATGCGTTCGTCGACATCAATAGGAAGCTTACGAAAATCAAGAAGAAAATGAACATGAAATTCAGGGCCCAGAAAATATATCATTATCAGTCACTCAAAAATCAATAACAGTGCTTGTCGATATAAGTGATGCCTCTTTGGTCCATCACAGTGCAGAGATAGATTACTTGGACCCAAACCATCCAGTCGTTATGATGTATCCGGCTGAACCTTTGAAACACAATACCCACTATGCAGTAGGGGTAATTTCTGCTAGGGATAAAACAGGACGTCAACTACCACCAACGCAGGGGATGGTAGATATGATGAAAGCAAAGCATTCAAAAACAAGAATGCGTTTTGTCAATAAGGTCATACCTGCCGTTGATCTGGCAGTGCCTTGGTTTTCGTTCAAAAAGGATCCGCAATCATTGCAGCTACTCTTCGATTTTGTCACAGCGAGTGAAGCATCTCAACTGGACCCGGTCAGAGCTGCGCGCGATATAGCTTTAGAACATGTCGCGGACTGGAATTGGGATGATCACGCTCGTGTGGTGTCTACTGAGGACTATGACTGTGATGGGGATGACTCTCCTGATATTGCTCGGACCGTTCATCTTAGTTTAGATGTTCCATCCCTTTTGTATCAAGAGAGCCGTTATTCATTTTTAGATCCCAGAAAAATTGAGCGAAGGCATGCCGTGGCATTTGGCGAAGCTAAAGCAATGGTGGAAATACCTTGTAGTTTGATGAAAGAAACGCTTGACGAGGGATCTGGAAAGAAATTGCGAGCAATCGTCGAATTTGGTCACGGTTTGTTTGGAAACCGAGAAGAAATGAAAGATGGTTTCTTACGAAGGATGGGCAACAACAATGGGTACATCACGATGGGAATGGATTGGAGAGGAATGTCTAGAGTCGACTTACCAATTGTTATTAGAACACTGGTCGGCAATCCAGATCTCTTTCAAGCAGTACGTGACAATCTAATACAAGGTTTTGCGAACAAAATTTGCTTGCAACATTTTTCTCAGAACGGAATGCTGAGGCTTGAAGCATTCAAGTTCGGAGGAACTTCCATTCCCACTCTGAACCATCGCCCGCCAACTTCGGCTTTCTACGGCATCAGCCAAGGGGGAATTTTAGGTGGTGGCTACATGAGTGTGATTGGGAAAACTAAACTGATAGATAGAGGGATTCTGGGGTCGCCAGGCTCGCCCTTTACTCTAGTATTGACTCGATCTCTTGACTTTGGTTCATACGACAAATTATTTCTTAAGAACTTTTATAACAACAGACACGTACGGATTGCATTGGCTCTCATGCAGATGGCATGGGATTCGACGGAGGCATCGGGATTTCAGGCTCGACCTGTATTGGAGCCCGTCCCTCGGCTTTTAATACAGGCTGGTTTGGGCGATGCAGTAGTGCCAACCATTGCCGCCGAGTCTCTGGCGAGAGCCATGGGAGCATCTCTTCTGCCTGGTAGTCCACGGTCTGTTTTTGGACTTCCTACAGAGTCCGCAGCCGACGATGATAAATGGATTGGTCCTAAGGTAACACTAAGTGAACTTCTATATGAACAAGAATACAGCAGCCTTCCGATCGACAACGATTACTTCAGTGCAGGATCACATGACACCCTTTCAGAAAATCGTGTTCACTTCTGTCTACGTTGGGACAGTGCCATGATTGAGCAAATTGAAGAATTTGTCAACACTGGGCGAGTTATTGATCCGTGTAGAAATGATCATTGCCAAAGAGAAACATGTTCATAAGTATGGCTCTCTTGAAACTACATTTCATTTTTCAATACTTTTGTACTTTAGTTCCATGATCTGTTGTTTGTTAGCTATGAAATGCAAAGTATTGTCAGTAATTTGGTGAAGATTGAAGATCAAAGAATGTTATAATTTCCTTTGAAGAAGAACCACCAGTTTTCATGTGGCACCCTGTTTAATTGCCATGACTTTTCTGAGCCCAGAATGGTAGTAATGCTGACAATTTGGTGGAGTATAACAATACTCACACGAATGGTGGTGGCTCTGAGGAATGTGTGACCCCCTGATTAATGGTAAAGCTTCTGGTGGTGCTGCAGGTGCTGGTGTAGGTATCTCCTAATGGAGGAAGTATTCTTGTTGTTTGCTTGACAAAAAGAACAACAACAACAACAAAATATGTGGTAACAAATAAATTTGTAGTGCTAACACTATGTGACAGAGAAGCAAATGCAAATTTGCATGTAAGTACAAATTTAGTCCCTTACGTGTTTAATGCATGCAATAAACTGCACAATCTACAGTGCAAATTTAAAACAGCAACTTAACATCAGATTAAGACTAGGTAATCACTCGTCTTGCTGATGCTTGTTTTTCACACTGGTGATGATGGGTTGTGATCTGCCAAGGACCAAAGACTGACTTGTGCTGGCTTGCTGTCAACAAATGCACAATGCAGCTTCTCTTTATAGAATGTTTTTGCCTTGATCCAAGGAGAACTTGTAGCACAGTAAATAATAGCAGAAGACCTCTTCTCTGGAAGAATGAGTAGTCCCTGTATCGTCAGCTTCTTCATTTCTTTCTCTATGAGTGAACTCGGTGGTGAGAGAGTCCCTTTGGTAGTGGTATGGTGACTCTCTTTTCTTTCTAGCTTGAAGAAGGACCCCAAGTCCATTGGCTCGAAGCAATTGGTAGTCTTGGCACCAATCTTGTTGTAGTTCATAACTCTCTTGAACAAGTTTTCAATAGTGTCCAGCCTATTGAGTATTGGCATTTGACTCATGTTACTATCTGCTCTTCTGGGACCTCTGCAGCATCATTGCGCACATGCAATTCAATTGCAGAAGCCTCCTGAAGTAATATGAATAGATAATGTTGTCCTACCATTCAAAGAGTGTTTGAATATCCTCATTCACACCACTTGATAGATAAACTGTTGCACTTCATTTCTTCTTGGTTCAGCCACATGGATTTGTTCTTGTTTCTGGCCCCTCTTGATTGTGTTGCAGATAAAACTCTTGCCACTCTTGCTGATGCTTGACACCATTATACTAAGTTCCTTCTTGCATCATCAAGATTATTGATTGCCTCATCATTCCTCCTCTTCAAGACTTCAGCACTGGTGATCATGGGCTGTGATCTACCAACAAAGACCAAAGACTGACCTGTCAATCATCACAATACTGGTCCAATTGATAACCTACTATTAGGAGCAAATCAAAGAAATCCTCAGATGTGCTTCCTCTAGTAGTATGATACATCTCTGTAAAAGTGTATCCATGAAAAGCTTTTGCAGAGTTGGGTTGTTGCCAAGGAAGGGAACAGCATTGCCTGTCTCCTGTGTCACTGCATGAACAACTGGGCATCCATCAACACCACTTGCTAGTAGCAGTTGAGCCACTTTTAAGAGCAAATTGTCTGGATTGGTGGGAGCATTGCTCAGATAATAGTATGATTGTTGATGCCTCACATCCCACTAGGTAATGGATGGACGTTATCTACTACTTGTCATATTATGTCCCCTGGTAGGTCAATCTGGAAGCCAGTTTTTGTAATAGATGCTTTCTTGAATGGACCTCAGTTGTACTACTACTAGTACTACCACTAGTACTGACTTACTAGGCTTACTACTGTAGGTGTAATAATAATTATTCCAAATAATCCTTAATATCCAGTAGGTATGACCAACAATACACTCCTCATTTGTGTGTTAAGATGAATCCTGCCAAAAACTAGTAGGTCTTCATCTGATATTTAGTTGCAGAGATTGACAATATTAAATTAGGGTAATATGGTAGTTTTACTAGTAGCACTTTAGTACTACTGTGTACAGGCATTTTCCAGGTAGAAAATGAAAAAAATTAAGTGAAAAGTTGCAATTTTATCCACCAGATGCATTTTCGTAGTAGCTGCGTAGTAGAAGTACTCAACATCAAAATTATTATGCTGCAAAGCTGCCCAGGTTAAAATTTTGATCAACTTATGATGATCCATACAAATACTGCCACTTGTACTAGTAAAACTAGTAGTAGCACTACTACTAGTAGCACCAAATCAAATTATAACCCCCGTTTCCACCAACTCGGGACTCAATATCTCATGATTCCCGAACAAGAATTACAAGAATATTATTACAAACTAAAATTACAAATTACCGTTACATTTTTTAAAATTCGCGACATGAAAATGAACCTGTCAAAACTGCCGGGTACGACTAGAAATAAGACGCATGAGACTCCCCGCCGCCCGAACACAACCGAATAAATACGATATCCAGTACTGTATCGCAATGTACATGAAGTGCTCAGCTTTACGTGCATTACGGCAATATCGCTAGCATCACTTAAGCTTAAAGCAACCATAAAAGTAATAATGGCTCCTTCACCGGTGGGTATTGAGATAAGCAAGGGGAAAAGGAAATGGAAGGTGGGAGAGATTCTTGGCCACGGGGCCTGTGCAACCGTCTGTTCCCTCGGCAAGATTGAAAATGGCACTTGCACGGAAACAAATTTTGCCGTGAAACTTGCCCCTCTGCCTGTAAAAAAGACGAAGAAGGGAAACTCCCCGCAAGAGATGAATGCAAAGCTATTGTACTACGAGCAAATGATTTACACCACTCAATTTCGAGGTCTACAGGGCAAACTTATTCCCAACGTGCCGAATCTGTCAAATTCGAGAGATCCCCCAATCTATGGAGACGAAAGTGGTAAGTTTCACGTTCTGAACCATTGCTTTCTGCGCAAGTCTCTATTTGCATCTCAAATTTCCAATTCGTGTGGCATTACGCCATGATACAGGATATAGATTCTTTACTCTGGAGAGGATGGACACAACCATTTCTGCCGTTGTTCCATCTCTACTTATGAGCAAATCATCTTCGAAAACTATCAACGTTGGTCCACTTGCAGTGAAAATGTTGGAGTGCATCAAGGCCGTTCACGAAACAAAAAATGTGATCAGAGATGTGAAAACCGAAAACTTTATGCTCACTCTCGATAAAGGAGCAACCGGTTCAACCCCTGAAGAGAAGTTAGCATCTCGTATTCGACTTATCGATTTGGCCATCGCTACTCAGTGGACAACAATGTACTGTGAGACAGACGAGGGCGGCGATTTAATTGGAACTCCTCTTTATTCATCTCTTAACGTTCACTCTGGAAAGAAAACAAGTTTCAGGGATGATCTGGAGTCTCTAGGATATGTAATCGCCGAAATTTTGATGCAACTGTATTCTGGGGATCAATCAAAGCAGTTGCCCTGGAGTAGTGGAAAATCGGATGAGGACATTGGCTCTATGAAGCAGTCGCTGGTTGGTGACAAAGAATCAGAATTTTATCGTCAGCTCGGGAATACGAAAACAACCGAAGTATTTTTGGAATATGTAAGTGTTGTTCGTGGTTACAGTTTTAAGAAACTACCTGACTACGATGACCTATCCAGAATTCTATCCAAGTTGACAGTTCCAAGAAAAGCAATGAATAGCACAACGAAAAAAACGGCAGCAACGAAGCGCACACGAAACAATAAGTCGCCCACAAACGAGGACTACGTCTCGCCCCCGAAAATTGCTCGTCGCAGCAACCGGAGAAAAGCTGCAAGCATGATAATTGAAGACGAGGAGGGGTGTCCTAAAAATGAGATTGACGATGAAACTGTTTACGCTGATGCACACCAAGAACTTCACGATATGGACTGGGAACATTGTGTCGATGAGAATGAGTATCCAGTTGAAGACTCCAAACCCCGAACACGGAGTCGAGCCGGACGTGATCCAGCTCCTCGACGTGAGCGAACCACTAAATCAAGCAAAGCTGCAACAAAGAACGTGATCGACAATGATGGCAAAGGAAGAGAAAGAATGCCTCCACGTGAACTGAAGCGCCGAGGTGTGCGCATTGTGTGTACTGAGGGCCCTCACAAAGGCTATATTTACGAAATGGAAGCTGGGGTGAACGAAATCATTACCATTGGATCAAAACCGACATCTAAAGTCGGAGAACTCTGTTCCCTGAAAAATGACAAGAATCTAAAAGGGACTCATGTTAGACTCGATCTCGATATGAATCGTAGATTGATTGCGGTGAAAGTCACGGATAAGTCGAATGGGAAGACTTACGTGAATCGCGATGCGGTGAAGAGCACGAAAGCATTCATCAACGACGTCATTACGATTGGCGAAACATCCTTGGCAATTAAGGCTCTATAGACCTGTTCTCTGCCTAGTGTTGTTTTTGGCACAGAAGATCACTTATCGAAATGAAGAAATATGTTGTTCCTGGAGGTGAAACAGACTTATCTTTCACTGACATTGTGTTTGTCGGAAGGAATAATGTCAAAAGGTGTTTTGCGCCCGTACATGAACACATTGGGGGACTGTTGAGATATATGAACAGCTTTAAAATCACCAACGAGATTTCCTCTGAATACTATTGTAAGCTTCTCGGATTAACCAAACGCCATTATAATAAAATTCAAAACAATGATCTGATTGCGTTACGCCTTTATCAAAAGATCTTTTCGAACCTTTATCGGTGTATTTGGAACTCGAATGCGGGCGAGTTTGGTTTCCATGGCCACGTATAGAAAGTGGTCCGAGCCCAGGGTCAGGTCTACGATTCGTTCACCCGCCGGGAAGGAAATCTTGGCAACGTACGTAGTCGATTTCGAAACCACCAGTATAGCGTTTTCTACCGCCAGGTAGAGGTTGCCGTGGTTGTCGACCTCGATGGCACCGGGATGGCTCGCGTGCGCCGTGTAATCAAAGACCGTCACGGCGTCCCCTGGGAGAGAACCCCCGCCGTCGCCGTCGTTTTCGTCTAGGTCGTCCAGCAGGGGCAGGCTCAGGACCACCACCGCGTGGTCGTTGTCGTTGTCGTTGTCGCTGCCGGCGGTGGTCGTCAAAAGGACGCGCTGGCCGGAGGGATCCAGGGCCAACCCCCCCATTTCCCCCGACCGGAGGACCGCGCGGGGGAGGCCCGTGGCGTTGTTTCGGTTCCAGGCGTGCGCCCTCCGGCTGGCCGCCAGGGAGGCGAGGCCGGGAACCCCCGAGGCCCCCTCGAGCCGCCACAGGACAAAGGGGGGTTCGCCGTGCGGAGGCCTTCCGCCGCTCTCGTCGTCCACGGCCAGGAGGTCTCCGTAGGGCGTCACCAGCAGCCGAAAGGGCCGGGCCAGCCGGTCTCCCCCCTCCTGGGTGGTCCCGACGATCAGCGGGGTCCTGGCGCCGTTCTCCTCCAGCCGGACGACCCGTCCCTCCCCGTACTCGGCCACGACCAGGGAGGGCCGGCCCTCCCGTTTCCCGTAGGCGTCGGGAGCGATCCCCCCGCTCCCGACCGTCCCGGAAGCGCCGCTCCCGCAGTCCTTGTACAGTCCGGACCGGCAGCCCGCGTCCCTCGCGTAGAGCGTCCGTCCGATGGCGATCGGCCCGCCGCCGGCCTCCCAGCGGTAGATCCGGCCGGTTCCTGCGCTGGTCGACAGCAGGAGGTAGCCCCGGCCGAGCTCCTCGTCCTCCATCCAGGCGGTGGACTCGACGCCATCGAAACCCTCCTGCACCAGGTAGGGCGGGTACCGGAGGGACGAGCAGCCCGCTCCGCCGGGGTAGACCAGGGCGTCCTTTTTGTTGTTCCGGTGCGCGGCGAGAAAGCCGGGGCAGGCCCCCTCCTCCCCTTCTTCGCCGCTCGAGGCACCGGGGCTTTTGTCCCAGACCTCCAGCCGGTGGGGGAGGGGCCTTCCGCAGGTCGAGGACCGAAAGAGGCCGAGCGAGTACAGCCGGGTCCCGGAATAGTAAAAGAGGGCCGGGAAAAAGACCAAGGCCCAGGCGGTGCCCGGCCGAACGAGGGTTCTCCGGCGGGCCTTGGAGGGGTCGGTGGCCACCATGTCGTTTGGTGGTTGTGTGCGTGTGTGGGTGGGTCGGGGTGGGGCGATAGACTGCCGTGCCTTGCCGTGCCGTGCCTTGCTTGAGACTCGTTGCGGCCTCCTGGGTTGGCACCGGTGTTTTGTGGAATTGGGGACCGAGACGGTGGGCTGTCGATCGGCACCTCCCATTTTGTTCCGTCCATAGCCGTTCTGTATCGTAGGGTACCGTACGGTACTACTGTATCGCACAGGTCGCAACGTACTTACCGGTACGTACGGGTACCGTAGTACGGTTCAAGGTTTCCGAGACTTCGCTCTTTGCGCACCGCAGCGTTCGTTGGTTGCGTATAGTACCGTATACTGCAGCATACCTACATACCTACCTGTAGTACAGTGCACATGGATGGAACAGAGTCAGGCTCGTCACTGTCATTCCTGTAATTTTTTTAAAATTCGAAAATCGAAAATCAATGCTTGTAGTAGTAGTACGGTAGTTACGGGTAGTAGAAGTACGTACTATTAGAAGTATGTACCGTACGTAGCCTATCATCTATGCTGCCAGGGTACGACATGCACGGAACCATTTATCGCATCGCATGGCATCGCATCGCGTTGTTTGTTGTCTCGAGCTGCGGTCGCGGGTCCCGGTGCGGTGAATGCGAGTGCCTGCCGTACGTGCGTGCCCGTCGCATCGCAGGAAGACGAACGGGATGGGCGTTCCGTTCGTTCGTTCTTTGTTGCCCCGCGTGTGGGCCGTGCCATCCCGTCCTTCCCGCGAACCTGCGGGAGTGGCCCGGGGCGGGGCGGGCACCCGGCGGCGGAAGCGGTGCGGCAAAGCCAGCCGGGGGCCGGGTTTCGCAAGCGGACGCCACGCCCTCACGGCCCGCGAGGCGCCAGGGCCGCTGCCGCCGCCAGCAGCACCGGAACCACCACCACTGCCGCGGCCCGCCACGCCGCCGGTGGGTCCGTTCCGGGGGCCGCCGTTCCGGGGGCAACGCCGCCGCAGGCTTTGCTTCTGCGGGCCCCGCCGAGCCGCCGGACGAGCTCCCGGCCGGCCTCCAGTCCGTCGCGGATCGCGCGGTCGGCACCGGAGCGCCTCCGGCGGGCCCCGAGGACGTCGAGGTCCCACCAGGGCCGGTCCCGGGAGTCCCCGATCCGGAGGACGGACGAGAGCGGCCCTTCCACCGCGGGCCGCTTGGCGGACGGGAGGACCAGCCCGTGGGAGAGGACGACCGCGTCGAAGGGGCCGTGGGCGGTCGTTTCGTCCCCCGGCTCGGTCCCGCCCCCCCGGACGGTCACGACGGCGTGCCCGGCTGTTTCGGAGGGGTGGACGGCCACCACCCTGTGGGACGAGGCGACGCGGGGGCGTTTCCGGAGGACCTCCAGAAAGGCCTCCCGGGAGACCTCCCCGGGGCCGCCGGCCGGAAAGACCCCTCCTGTTCGGGCCGCTTCCGAGAGGCCCAGCTCCTCCAGGACGGGGCCCGCGGAGTCCAGGCGGAGGGTCCCGATCACCGGGATCCCCGACGCCGGCTTGGACTCGAACAGGACGTACCTCCAGCGGCGGCCGCTCCGGGTTTGGTGGTGGTTGCTGTTGTTGTTGTTGTTGCTGTTGCTGGTTTTGTTGCTGGTGGAGGTGTCGTCGCTGCCGGGGCTCGGGTGTGTTTCCAGGTAGTTCGCCAGGACCAGCCCGGCAAATCCCGCTCCCACAATGGCAACGGAGGGACCGTCGTCCAAATCCACGTCGCCGTCCACGTCCACGTCGCCGTCGCCACCGTTCTTCCTCGGGTGCTCGCTGTCGAAAGAGTTGTCGTCGAGAGTGTCGCTGCCGTCGTCGTTGTCGATCTCGCCGCCGCACCGGAAAGACTTTGGGGCGCCGCGGTCCCTTCCACCTGCCGCCATTCGCCGGGTGTGCTTTGCTTTTGCTTTTCGTTGCTTTTGCTTTTCGTTGCTTTTGCTTTTCGTTGCTTGGGCGCTTGGTGGGACTGTTTGGCGTGCGCGGCAGCGAGGACACAAGCCAAGGAAGGTTTGGTCGGTGCCACCGATGGAGATGCTGTATGGGTCTCCGCGATGCCCCTGCCGTGTGCGTTGTGTTGTACCGTGTCCTTGTCGTCGTCGTCCTTGTCGTCGTCGTTTGTCGTCCTTGTCGTTTGTCGGAACCGAACAAACACGACGAGGGTTTTTTGTTGTTTTTGGGGGGGTGAAAATCGGCTCGGTGACCGGGTGAGTGCATCGAATCGATCGAACGAATCGATCGAACGAATCGATCGAACGAATCCATCCATCCATCTTTCCATCGATCCACACAACGACGACCGGCGCCCGATGAATTGATTCGCGCGACCTGCGTGCCCGGGACGGAAGATCGCGAAGAACCACGGGGACACGCGTCGTTCCCGAAACCCCTCTGATCTGACACCCTGTTTCGAATCCGCGAAGGTTCCCCATACATCCATACAGTACACACAGTACGGTACCCGTACCGTACCGTACGCACCGCCCGGTACGTACCGTACTCGTACCCTGCTTGAGAAAGAGAGAGAAGACGGTGGCGTCGATTGTCGTGTGTCGTGTCCCACCGGAACGAAGCAAGGAAGGCCGCTCTCGCCTCGTTCGGCCCCGCTGCGCTGCCGTGCCGTTCCCTACGGTACGGTACAGTGCGCACGGTACGTACCGTACGTACCGGTACGCAACGAGTTGCGTTGGTGTGATGTGGGTGCCAACGATCCTGTCCGTAGCGCAGCCGTAGGGAGCAAGCCAACCCTACCGTACCGTACGGTACCGTACGACGTCGTGGGTATCGCATCGCATTGCATCGCATCGCATCGGGTCGTCCGAAGATTTCCGACCGAGAACGGTACTGCGTAGCTGCCCCGTAGATACGGTACGTGCGTACTTTCCTCCGTTGACACGACGCTCGTACGGTATCGTACGTACGAGTACGTACGTACCGTTCCGTACGGCAGCTACCTATCGTCCGAGCGAAGAAAGGGCGGCAGCTTCCCCCCGGCGTGCTGGTTTGGTTTGTTGTGTTGTGTTGTGTTGTGTCGTGTTGTGTTTCTTCTGTCTGTGTCTGTGTGTGTGTGTGTGTGTGTGTTTGCGTGTGTGTGTGTGTGCGTTTGGTGGTGTGTTCTTTCTTTCTTTCTTTCTTTCTCGGGGCTACAGCTGCCTTCTTGGTTCCATTCGATTCCACGGCCTCGCCGAGGGTGCACCCTAGCCTACCCTACCCACCGTACMGAAGCACAGCACAGCACAGCACAGCCATCCAGCCAGCCATCCGTCCCTCGAACGAATAGCAGAAGCACAGTACGGTACCGTAGTTGCGACTCGCACCACACAGTGCCGTGCACCGCAGAACGGTTCCCCGGTTCCCGAGCAAAACGCGGGCCGGACCCCAAGACACACGGCACGGCACCGCAAAGCACCGCAAAGCACCGCAAACCAAGAACCGAGCCGAGCCGAGCGGAGCACCCCACGGCAGAGGAGCCCGCGGCACAAAGGACACCGCCGAGCAGCATGGCGAACAGCTCCAGCGTTTCGATAGAGAAGGTCTGCTACGGCTCCGAGCACCGATCGGCGGCGGCGGTGTCGTCGAGCCGGCGGCGGAAGAGCGGCAACGGAAGCCTCCAAAACGAAAACAACACCAGCAACAACACCAGCAGCAGCAACACCAGCAGCAACGAAAACGACTTACACCACCCCGTCTTTATGGAGGACAACGACGCCGCGATGCAATGGGGATCCGACGGCGGGAATGGCAGCGACAAGAAGGACAACAACGAGGACAACAACGAAGACGACAACGACAGCATTCCCACCACCATGGGCGTCCGGGCGTCCTCCATGGACTGCGAGGGCCTTGCGGAAGAAGGGTGCGGACCCGGGGTTTGGCACGCGCGGCCTCCCTTAGACCACCCTTCGAACGCGCGAAAGCCCCACCGCCGGGACCGCCGCCGGTCCGAGATCCACCTCCGAGCGGACCAGCAGGCCTGGGTGCAGCTGCGCCTGCGGACGGAGCTGAAGAGGGAGGCGGTGGCGGTGGCGATGGAAACGGGGCAGCACCAGCACGATGGCTACGGCAATGGCACTATTAATGGCACTATTAATGGCAATATTAATAGCAATGGCAATATTAATGGCAACCACGACACTCACCACCACACCCAGAACAACAACTACTACAACCACCACCACAACTACTACAACTACAACCATGACCCAAACGACGACGACGACGACGTCTCGATCCTCACGGAGTACAGCATGGAAGAAGCCACCGGGGCCGCCTGCGAGGGACACCCCCGGAAGACCAGCGACAGCCCCTCACAGACCACGGTCCACACCCACACCTCCTGGACCTGCGTGACGGACGGGACGATGCCCTTTGGCGCCGAGGGGGACCGCAAGAGGCGGCCGGCGGGGGGCGGACAGAGGCAAAGGGACCGCAAGCGCCGGCGGTAGGACGCAGGACCCGGGGCCCACGGGCAGCAAAGAGACGAACCATCCCACGACACACGACACGACACGACACAGAGACCCTTGCTGGTTGCCAGCCAGCCAGCCAGCCAGCCAGCGAGCGAGCTCCCGGCAAGCACAAGCATGCTTGCGTCCCACAAGGCCTCGAGATGCCCCAACTGCGACCAACCCGTGGTGGACCGTGCTGCCCGCGAGAACAGACAGCGCGCGCTACGAACCAAGGGCATCCCCGAACGGGTCGCGACCGCCAAAGATCGCGCCAAGGGGCACGAACGAAAACAAGGGACAAACGGGAGACGAGGCGAGGCAAAACGAKGCGAAACGCGACGCGACGCGACAATGCGAGCACACGCGGCCGTCTCGGGACGCCCGTCGACGCATCAAGCACGCCTTGGAATACAGTAAAATAGATACACGCCAAAGGCTTTGTTGTTGTTGTTGTTGTTTTTTGTTTTTTTGTTTCTGTTTTTTTTTAAAAGACCACAAACATGCCAGGAACCCATCGCCTCGTTCCGTTCGTTTGCCTTTCTCGGCAGAGAGGGACCCGCCGGGTTGTGCCGACCGGTCGGTTTCTGGGTTTGCGCCCCCCTCCCGTGGGTCTGTGGTCTTGCCCTGCCTTGTGCTTCGCTTTGGTTCCGTTCCCTTGCCTTGCCTTGCCTCGCGTTGTGTTGTGTTGAGTTGTGCCGCGCGGGGTGCCCGCCGCACCCGCGGGCAGACACCGGGCACGGCACGCAAGGGCACCCGCTCTCGCTCGCTCGCTCACTCGCTCGGTCGCTGCCAAAGCCGCCTATTCCCACTCGATCGTCGCCGGGGGCTTGGAGCTAATGTCGTAGCAGAGCCGGTTGATCCCCCGGACCTCGTTGATGACCCGGCTGCTCATCGTGCCCATCACGTCGTAGGGCAGGTGGTAAAAGTCCGCCGTCATGTAGTCGGTCGTCTCGACGCACCGGACGCTGGCAACGTTCTCGTAGGTGCGCGAGTCCCCCATCACGCCCACCGTCTTGCACGGGAGGAGGACCACAAAGGCCTGGCCGATCTTGCGGTAGTGCCCCGAGCGGTAGAGCTCCTCGATCACGATCGCGTCGGCCTCCTGGAGGATCTTCACGCGCTCCCTCGTCACCTCCCCCAGGATGCGGATGGCCAGGCCGGGGCCCGGGAAGGGGTGCCTCCAGACGGACTTCTCGTCGATCCCCATGGCCATCCCGAGCTCGCGGACCTCGTCCTTGAAGAGCTCCCGCATCGGCTCGATCAGCTTCAGGCTCATGCTGGCGGGCAGCCCGCCGACGTTGTGGTGGGTCTTGATCGTGGCAGACGGGCCCTTGTACGAGATCGACTCGATCACGTCCGGGTACAGGGTGCCCTGCAGGAGGTACTCGCACTTCACGCCCATCTCCTCCTCGATCTTGGCCGACTCCTCCTGGAAAATCTCGATGAAGGTCGTCCCGATGATCTTGCGCTTTTTCTCCGGCTCGGTCACCCCCGCCAGCTTGTCCAGGAACCGGTCCGAGGCGTCCACCACCCTCAGGTTCACGTGGCACTCGTCGCGCATGCGCCCCAGGCAGTTCTTGGCCTCGTCCTTCCGGAGGCACCCGTTGTCGACCATGACGGCGTGGAAGCGGTCCCCGATCGCCTGCGTCATGAGGACGGCGGCGACCGTCGAGTCGACCCCGCCGCTCACGGCACCAATCACGTGGCCCTCCCCGACCTGCTGGCGGACCTCCCTCACGAACTCCTTGGCGTAGTCCGCCATCACCCAGTCCTGCTTGGCACCGGCGATCTTGACGCAAAAGTTCTCGAGGATGCTCTTGCCCAGGGGGGAGTGGGTGACCTCGGGGTGGAACTGGAGGCCCCACATGCGCTTCTCGAGGTTCTCGATGGTGACAAACTCGGCGTTGTCCGTTCCGGCTGCGGCGTGTGCGTGTGTGCGTGCGCGTTGGATCCGTTGCATTTGTTCGGGTTTGTGGAATGTACGGAGAAATTGGTTCGTTCGCGGCGACAAAACGGGATGCAACAAGAATTCGGCGGCATGGTTGTGTGGGTTAGTTGTGGTTCGCGTCCTTTGCGCTTTTCGCATTGTATTGTATTGTTTTGTATTGTATTGCATTGCATTGCATCGCATCCCACCGTGCCGTGCTGCATCAAAATGACGTTCGCCACTTACCAACGGGAGCAAAACCGACCGGTGTCTTGGTAAGCTTGTCTCCGTGGGACATCCACATCTGAAACTCTTCCGGCATGCCGTCGAAGATCTTGGATTCGCATCCGGCGACCCGCTTGACGATCGATTTCCCGTACTCGTGCTTCAATCCCTTCTGGACCTCCCCCCCAAAGACGTGGGCCAGCTCCTGCATTCCGTAACAAATTCCGAGGACGGGGAGGTTTCGCTCCTCGATGAGTTTCCAGACCCCCTCCGCGACGTGGGGGGCGTCTTCGTCGTAGACGCTCGAGGGCCCACCGCTCAGGATGACCGCCACCAGCTCGTGCTTCCCGAGTTCCTCGGCGGCAACCTTGCAGGAATACAATTCGCAGTACACGTTGAGCTCACGGACGCGGCGGGCAATCAAGTGCGAGTACTGAGACCCGAAATCCAGAATCGCGATCTGGGGCCTGTGCGCGGCGATGCCGGAACGCAAGAGAGAGAGAGAGAGAGAGAAAAGGTCAGAGGTGTGGCGTTCCGTTTCGACGGAGGGGCACTCGTTGTCGTGCAAGTCGTCCAAACCCGGCCAAAACCTACCGAGCGTAGTTGCTAAGTCCGGAGGACTGTTCGAGGATATCGCTTTCGGTCATCTTGTATTGTATTGTTCTTTGCTTTTTGTGGAAAGGGCTTGGTTGTTTCAGTAATGTCACTAATGTTTGGTATGGCTGTCGACATCGATTATGTGATCTAAGCACGACAGAACAAGTTTATCGCCAACCTGTCGTCCGTCGGTACGATCCAGCTAAGCTAACCGTACCGTGGGGGTCCATCCGAAGTACGAGTACGTACGAATAGCACGTACCGCGCAGAAGGAAATTGAAACCTCGTAAAGATTGTCAATATCAATTTTTGATGGTTCGACACTGAAATCACGATTCTGCCATCAACGAACCGAAACCAAAAAAATCATTCCGAAATGAGCGCGAATTTGTTTTGTGTGGTCTGGACGCTGCTGGCAGATCTGGATGAAGTGGGCGGCGACGATCAGACGAAGAAAATGCTTGACGAAAAAAATCATAGAGTACGTTCATACCATACTAAGAGTATTACATACGGCAGTAGTAGGTAGTAGTACTTTGAACTTTTGGTCACTAGCAACGAAGAGTACGTACGTACCAGGTACTCGTACGCATATTACGTACCGTCCGAGGTGAACAAGTTCGTAGTATGGTGTATGGTACCAAGTACCGGTAGGACGTAGGACCCATTTTAAATTCGTTCGGGTACGTACGTACGTATTCATAGAACTCGTAGCTAGTGCAGGGTATTTTTCTGGCGTGAATAGTTCATGGGTTCCGACTTTGTGGATCTCTGAAGCTCATTTGCGAGTATTGTAGTATAATGAAATTACTATTCTGTAGTGCTTTAACACAACTCTGTCACTTGTTGGATCGGATTGGTACACACATAGAGTTGCCTAGCAAAGTGACACTTAAACCCTGAATCAAGAGCTCAGGCCAATACGACATTCGGAAATTCCCATCATCAAGTAAAATAAATTGCAACTTATTTTGGTCCCGTCATATCTCTGGGGATGATCCATTCGTCAAACTGTTCCGCGGTCAAGTATCCGCTTGCCACGGCCGCTTCTTTCAGTGTCAATCCGTTCTTGTGAGCATTTTTAGCGATCTCACTAGCTTTGTCGTAACCAATGTGTGGATTGAGTGCTGTTACCAACATGAGACTAGCATTCATCAATTCTTCTACGCGACCCTCGTTGACTGTCAGTCCATCTACGCATTGAGTGGTGAAGCTCTTCGCCGAATCACCGATGAGTCTGGCCGAATGCAAGACGTTCGCGCACATGACAGGTTTGAAAACGTTCAGTTCAAAGTGCCCTTGAGCTCCACCGACGGTTACCGCGACATGATTTCCCATTACCTGCGCGCAAACCATGGTAATCGCTTCGCATTGTGTTGGGTTCACCTTTCCGGGCATGATAGAGCTTCCTGGTTCGTTCGCGGGCAACGCCAACTCTCCGAGTCCACATCGTGGTCCGCTGCCAAGAAGGCGAAGATCGTTTGCGATCTTGTTCAAACTACAGGCAATTGTATTCAACACACCGGAGACCTCGACGACAGAATCATGAGCTGCTAGTGCTTCGAATTTGTTGGGAGCTGTCACAAATGGTAAACCGGCAGCCTTGGCTAGACGTTCGGCGATGGTCACATCATATCCAATTTTGGTGTTAAGACCTGTACCGACAGCAGTTCCTCCGAGCGCCAAACGGCAGATGGATGGGAGAGCACTTTCCAGGCGGTGGATGCCATATTCAACTTGCTGGGCATATCCACTGAATTCTTGACCCACTGTCAGAGGGGTGGCATCCTGACAATGGGTTCTACCAATCTTGACAATGTCGGCGTATTCTTCGCTTTTTTTCTTCAACGAAGCGTGGAGAATTTTGAGTCCAGGCAGCGTAATTTCTGTAACCATTTTTGCGATTGATATGTGCATAGCAGTTGGGAAAGAATCGTTACTAGATTGGCCCATGTTGACATGATCGTTGGGATGAACCGGTGTTTTTGTCCCGACTTCACCGCCCAAAATTTGGATTGCACGGTTGGACAGCACCTCGTTGACATTCATGTTGGTTTGAGTTCCTGATCCTGTTTGGAAAATTACTAGAGGAAAATGATTGTCCAACTTTCCGGCCATCACTTCATCTGCGGCCTGAGCAATTGCGCCCGCAACTTTCTCGTCCATCTTTCCAATCTCTGCGTGGTACTCGGCACAGGATTTTTTAACAAGAGCCATGGCATATACAATCTGAAGGGGCATTTTCGACTCGATTCCACCAATGGGAAAGTTCATCAACGATCGCTGAGTCTGGCAACCGTACAGACAATTTCCCGGGATGTCCAAGGATCCCATACTATCCGATTCCACACGAGGTGGCAAACCGATACCGGGATCCGCCGATGCTGAGGCGGAAGAGGTCATTCTATAGTGTGATTGCTTAAAATTTCTTTGAGGAAACAACAATGGTCGATACGCGAACCGTGTTGCCTTGTATCTCTGATTATGAAACAAGGGAAAGAAGTTGGAAGCCAAGCGTTTGGCTATCATCTCTGCGATCGTGAGAAAAAACGGAAAAGATACCGTACTGAAACTACGAAATTACTTCGAAAAAAGAAAACGCCAAATGTAAGGTTCTGGATGTACGACATTCAGTCACGGTCACGAGTCGCGGATGTACTTGGAGTTTCGCTCCGTCGCTTTACAGACAGAAACCTTGTTCCGAAGAAAGGATTTCCAAACTACAGATCTCTTACACTTTTTACGAAGGTTCAAAGTTGAAATTGCCGGCCCTGCGATGCTGTGTCTCTATTGAAACTTTCTGATAGAAGAAAGCGTTTCATGTTGCTTGAGCCTGTTGAGTCGATATTGCTGGTGTTTTGATGAGTGGGACGAAAAAATCCAATTTCGTCACAATTCGCAGAAGACCGGGGACACCTTCCAAAAATACGACGAGCACGCACGCAGCACACGCTTTGCGTCTTCGATGCATTCCTGCATTTCATTTTGAATCCATCAACGAAGAACTTTTTCTAACTTCTTGTTATTCTACTCTGGTATGAGCAATTCTCTAATGCGCTAATATGAGTAGTAGTACTAGTAGTACTGCTGGTTGTAGTTGTAGTACTTCTAGTAGTGGTAGTACTAGTAGTATTGCTACACCTGCTTAAATCACCAGTACAGGTAGTAATACTATGCAATCTCTTTCACAAGCCACAACAACAAGAACAATGAGTGCACGCACCCATCCTCTGCATAAAACCACAAACATGAACTAGTAGCACCATAGCTAGCTATGGTGGAGAGTTTCCACCAACCCTGACCTACTAACTTAAATTAGTACTACTACTACCTTCCTTTATGGTAGTAAGAAAAACTGTGTTAGTACAAGAAGTAGATATCAGTACTATTATTAGTATTACTGTACAAAGCATTACTATTAGCACTTGGACCAGTACAATCAGTAATTTGTTTGAAAAACAGTACTACTAGTAATGGTTTTCTTTTCCCTTTTCCCATAGCAGACGAGCAGTCTTGTCATTTCACTGAGGAATCTAAAAAACCTACAGCAGTACTACTATTGTACGAGTACTACTAATAGTACTAAAGTACTATGTACAATGCTCTCTGATGGCACGGGCAAGGAAACAATTTTGTTGTGGTATGTCCTCCATTGCAACCGTACGTACAAAAATATTTCCAGATTTTATGGGATTGAACAAAGCAGGACAGGGAAGAGTCATAAAAATTGAAAATGTGTACTTGCCAAGTACTAGTACTACTTACTTGTACTTGTACTCTTGTCTTAGAACAGAAAAATACAGAAAAGGATAGACTACATCATACCCTTTCAAAAAGCCGGAAATGGCTGTTCTCTTCAAAATTTACGTGGCGGCAATAGTATGCACATGCAGCACATGTATGGAAAGACAAGAGAAAACCCTTTCCAACTCATGGATTCTCAAATTCTGATTGGTGCTTTCCTAGACTTAACAAGCAAGCAAAGCTGCTGCTTTTCACTAGTAAAAATGGCTCCCAAAATTGTGACTTATAACCTGTTATAAATTGGACGCAATATATCACACCACAACCTCATACTGGTACGGTGCAAAGGCATCATGGACCAATCCAAATCCAGGAGTACAGTATGGTACAGTATCGTAATTGTACTTTTCTGCTACCGTACAGTACTACGCGTAAAATAACAATTGAACTTTCATTAATTGAGGCATTGGGAACGTTAATTTAATATTCCAAATGTTAATGCAGTTAATTTAAGAACTTTCGGAATGTTAAATTTATCGTGTAGGCCTACGTAGATCCTAGTATTATCCACATTTTTCAATTGGTACTAGCAAAACATCAGTCTTCTTGCACATGCCTACTAGTAAAAAGGAAGAAGGGATCTAAAAAAGAGGAAGAAGAGGACACCTCCCCTGCTAATATTCAGACTGTTAAGCAAAGCATTACTTCAGGACATTAAATTGAAGCAAAAAATACAGTACTCATTTCTTGGCAGCCTACAGTKGTAACATTCGGAATCTTAAATTAATGTTCTCAATGCCTCAATTAACGAAAGTTCAATTGTTATTTTACGCGTAGTAACGATGTCCCGTGCCGTACATTACTGTACTGTACGCTGTACGAGCTTGTACAGCACACTTCCTGTACCGTACCGTACGTAATCGTACGACTACGAGGAACTATCGGAATCCATTTTCCTCCGATGGATGCGGGTCACATAGTACGACGTACGGTCCCAGGTACCCTATCGGCAAGTACGTAACAGTGTGTGAGAGTACGTAGAACAAGTATGCAAACCAAAACAGTGTGACACACTGAAGTCACACAACACGGTACAGGAAACAATAATCGGTGTCGTAGCTCGAACAGCACCATCTCAATAGAACAATCTCCGCAGCAGTAAAACATGCTCAAATTATCGACCACAGTCTTGCGACGCAAGCAACGTGAAATTTTGCGTCGCCTGCAATCTACTTCCGCGAAATCTGCTTCAGAATGCATGGAATTGGAAGACAAATACGGGGCACACAACTACCACCCTCTTCCAGTTGTCCTATCGAAGGGTGCTGGTACAAAAGTTTGGGATACTGATGGCAAGGAGTATTTTGACTTTCTTTCTGCGTATTCTGCAGTCAACCAGGGACACTGTCACCCGAAAATTATAGGCGCCCTTGTCGATCAAGCGCAAAACTTAACATTGACATCACGTGCCTTTCATAACGACGCCCTCGGTGAATATTGTGAATTTGTCACAGACTATTTTGGAATGGATCGTGTTTTGCCAATGAATACTGGAGTTGAAGGAGGCGAGACTGCGATCAAGTTGGCCCGAAAATGGGGTTACCAAGTCAAAGGCATTGCTCCCGACAAGGCACGATGTTTGTTTGCCAACAACAACTTCTGGGGACGAACTTTGGCAGCAGTCAGTAGTAGTAATGACCCCACTGCTTACAACGAGTTTGGTCCTTATATGCCAGGATTTTCTCTCATTCCCTACAACGATGTGGAGAGCCTCGAGAAAGAATTCGAAAAGGATGCGGAGAACATCGCTGCGTTCATGGTCGAACCCATTCAGGGAGAAGCGGGAGTTATGGTTCCAGATGATGGTTACATGAGGAAGGTGAAGGAGCTATGCGAAAAATACAATGTTCTCTTGATCGCTGATGAAGTTCAGACGGGATTATGCAGAACTGGATATCGATTGGCAGTGGATCACGATGGAATTCTTCCCGATATTCTTGTACTAGGAAAAGCTTTGTCGGGAGGTGTGCTGCCGGTATCGGCTGTCTTAGCTAAGGAGGAAGTAATGCTTACACTAAAGCCAGGTGAGCACGGATCAACTTATGGTGGTAATCCACTTGCATGTAAGGTTGCGATGACTGCTCTTGAAGTTTTGAGGGACGAGAAATTGGCAGAGAATTCACAGGTCCGCGGGGAGCAACTAAGAAGTGGTTTGGAAGGATTGATAGGAAATTCCTCGGTTGAACACGTACGTGGCCGTGGTCTCTTGAACGCTGTCATTATTAATCAACCCAAAGGTGGGTATGGCGACACCGGGAAGGCTTGGGACCTTTGTGTTAAAATGCAGAACCACGGACTCTTGGCCAAACCAACACATGGGAATATCATTCGCCTAGCTCCCCCTTTGACTATTACTGAAGAAGAAATCGATCAGTGCTTGGATATCTTTGAGAGGTCTGTTCGTGAGCTTGATGCCTAGATCTAACGGCATTAGATTATCTAACAATTACATTTAATTGAATTTCATTGACGTCTGGAATCGTCATCGTGCCAAGAATAGTAGCCACAAGCACTCATTCTCCCTACAAGTATTTGAATGTAGAAAACATCATATTTTTCGCAATCGGCTAGTTAAAGCTTTGCAATATTTTGTCCGCGAACTATGTTGATAGTCGATCTCAGCCTGGATGTGTGGTGCTCTCAACTCCCGCATACGTAGAAGATAAGAACAAATGTGTAAGGCTCGGATCAAATCCTTCTCGCCCACTATGCAACCATCACTGTTAGTGATTTGTACTTTGTTACCCCGCTCTATGGTTTGCACTTATCGTGATGCCGTTATCTAGCAAATCAATCAATTTCATTTCCGTTAAAATGTTAGTGCTTTCGGGTAAAAACGAAGGATATGGGGAAAATTTCAAATTTCAGAAAAAATATATTACTTTACTACAGTAGTAGAATTATTTGCTAACTAGAAGTACGTACGTACTGTACAGTACAGTACTGTAATTCATAACCTGCCTGCGATTGATGTGCACGTGGCTATTCGTATCACGGTGTGAAAGAGTGAGTTTATTCACTATTTATTCGGGATTTAGCCTCACAGAGAAACACTGTCGCTCCAGAGATGCGTGCTTCAGAACAATAGTACATACGATATGTATCTGTAGCACTGTGGTTTGTAGGTACAAAATGTAATGCATTGAACTGCGCAAGGATGCACTTTTCTTGTACAATACGCAACCAAGTCGACAGGAACGGATTATTATTTTTATTTGTTTCTTGAGAGGTGCCTCATCCAGCGACCATTTCTCATCACTATCAATATCACCCCTCTGAACTACAATCGAGTTATTTGACTTTTCAAGGAACCTTTCTGATCGATTGTCAAGCGCCAAATCATTATAAAATGCCAAGGAAGTAAGTAGTTTTTCGCCATCGGCGAGCTTATAGTGTGTGTCGACCGCTCTCTATTCAGAGAGGGAAAAAACATGTTTTTTGTCAATCATATTACTGTCATTCTAACGAGCCTCAAACACCGTTTTGTATTCGACCATAATTTTTACACAAGGTTTGGGTTGAAGGTAGATTTGAACCTAAAAGAAAATCATGAGGGCTACATTGCACTGTCAAAATGTCCTCCAATCGTCGGTCAGTCGCAGCTTCAAAAAGCGGCACACCTCAGCTTGAACCCATCATCTGCGCCGTCAAAAAACACAGCAGCACTCGTAGCCAAGCGAAAACAAAAGGCTATGGCAATTGCGATGAAACCTGGATCGCAGGTTGCGATGAATGCCTTTATGATGTATATGTCGGGCTCCAATCTGAACATCTTTACGATAAATACAGTTAGCTCTGCCATTTTGACACCAATTACCAGTTTGTTCATGATTGAACGCACATTTGGCCCATTGGATGTTGACGCTCAGATGGCAAAATCAATATATGTTGCGATCAACTTGGCGTGGCTGGGAATAGGACTTTACAAAATGAGTGCGATGCGATTGCTTCCGACGACATCTGCCGATTTTGCCGACGCGATAGTTTGGAAAGACATGATGGAAACCTCCAGCATTCCATCAATTATATCTTAGGTGTTGTGGTTTGAAAGTGACTGCTTTAAAAGGATCAGCTATTTAGTGACGGAGAGATGTAAGGTTTACTAGGTCGTCGTTTGATAGGATATTCGGGGTTGTTGTCACACAGTCAGAAGACGATGTTTCGCTTGGAAATTTCCCAAGAAAACGACTTGGAACTGAAAGCAAAGATGGATAGAATAAGAAAATTTTAGATGAATAATGCATCGATACTCCTCTATTTCAGTATCTTTGTTCGGAATCTCGACAGGATTTATCAAGTTTGAAATACTTATGATTTTTACAAGTGCAGGCTAGATAGAAGTGTAGGGAAGAGTCTGATAATAACTCGAACCTATGTTGTTCGGCGTCCTTGTGCAGTAAAATGCCGTGACGAGGAAAGAGCGCCAACTTCTTCATTCTGAGATGATCATGAATCTGAATTGAGTCAATCTGATTGTTTTGTTGTTGGAATAAGTTGTTTTTGTGTTGTTGTTAGATGAGAAACAGGAATGATGCATCAGGCTCTTTTTTTTTGCCCCACACACCACATCGTGACCACATACTATTCTCGTTCAGAATATGTTATGATTGATTCAAGTCGATACTTTTCTTTTTTCTAGTACATTCATAAGTCCTTTTTATGAGGTTCTAGTAGTAGATCAACAAATCTTTAAAAAGGTTTTCGTCTTCTCGAAAAACTTTCTTGATCATCAGCAGAAGCAGCAATAACAATAACAGAGACAACAACCATTTGCATTTATTTCTAATCAGCAGAATCCTGCTGTTGATTCTTGCCCTTTAGAGCTCCTATTGACAAGCCCCACACTGACAAGTTACTGGCAATTCCAGTACAAACACTGATAGAAATTTTTAGCTCATTTTTACAGTTTAAAAAGTGTCAGAAACTGTCATAGGGACAAGAAAAAAATGTTTTGATTGTTTAATTTCTCACTGGCTCTAATAGATGGAAATTGTCAAGTAGTATTAGTACAAGTAACCAATGATATTGTATCCACACTACTAGTAAAGGCTCCTACATTATCTATTACCAACAACTTGCCAGCATGGGGCTTGCCTTCAGTAGCTCTGTGACTATGGGTGTGTAATGCAATGGCATTTGACACTTGCAACGCTACACTAGGGTCAACTTTTTGCAACTGCTGTACAAAACAGCACTCCACAAGTACACATTGGCCATTGCAAGACTGAATCCATATGGGACTAAAAAATGAAAGAATGAACACAGATGGGACTAAACATTTAGGCAAGACTGAATTTCAATATGAATTTTTTTCTTAGACCTTCTAGTAGTAAGAGAGGTTATACTCCTAGTAGTACTAGTAGTTAATATTATTGTTGGAATACTGGTAAGAGGCCAGTGGGGCACTTGAAGCTAGTACTACTACTACTAGCAACAGCAATGATGGCTCTTTGGCAGCCTCTGCTGTTGGTGATAATGACGCTACTAGTAGTACAGCAGAAGAGCAGGACACTTTGATGATCATGCACCAGCAACAGGCACAAAAAGAGCAAACTATAGTTTCTTCCAATCCTCAGAGAGTATAAAGGATGAAGTTGGGATCAGGAGGAGCTGCTTCTTAGGCACATGTCCCATCCCCAATTTGGTGCAAGTGGCAAGATCAGACACTCCAACCCTCTACAATAGTGGGGAAATAAAGAGAACCAATCTTCAACATTGTTGTTCAAGGAGGTATCTTGCTGCTGAAGTAACATCTGCTCCTTCAGAAGGGATATTTAGTAGTAGGGCACAGAGGATCATCAGTGAACTACATGCTACAAAGCATGATCCTTATATTGCAGGAAGAAGGACTTTGTATCATGCTGTAGCTGAAAATTTGGATTGGTAGTATGAGAAAAAATGGGCACAACCTTGAATAATTTGAACAGCAACAGCATAGTAGTGGTGGCATACTAGGACTACTATCATATAATTATATTGATATCATACATTTATTATGCAATGGCATTGGGTCAAGGATGAAAAAAAAATTAAAACAGCATTGTGTTGTGCACTCATATATTACTCTTTGTGCAAATTTTGAAATGTTTTATGAGGTACAGTAGCAGTGTTGTACATTTGTATCTACCATGAAAAAATTCAAGTACTCAAACTGAAAGATATTTTTGTAAAAACATGTACAGCAGGGTAAGTATGTAACCATAGAAACAGTATGTGCTTCAGAACAGGAGCCATAAATTTAGAGGGGTGTACACTGCATCAAAAAGTCATATTCCATGTGTGGTCCAAATTTCTAAAAAGTCACCCCATTTTTTTCAATTCTCATTTTTACTGCATAACACTAGTAGTAAAACTATCCAACCTTTAAGCAGTTACAGCTTCATCAAAAATGAATCTTTTAGAATCGGCCATTTTCTTGGATATCAAATGGATATTTGTGATACTATTTGATTCTTGATAAATATTTTTGATAACCTTGTAACTCCTTAAAGATTCATTTTTGATAACGTTGTAACTGCTTCAATGATGGATAGTTTTACTACTAGTATTACTATGCAGTAAAAATGAGAAGAAATGAAAAAAAACTGGGATGAGTTTTTGAGAATTTGGACCACACATTGAATATGAGTTTGCATGAGATATCGTGTAGATTTGGTTTTTAAAGTGTGTCAAATGATTATTATAAGTTATTCTGGTATCTAAAGTATCACCGTGCTATTACATGTTAACCACATGTTAACCAGTGTGTGAGTTCTTCAGTTCCAATTAGCTTTTGTGCAGGCCCTACTAGTACTGTACTATCTACATAGGGTTCTTACTTCTCCTCTTGACTCGTGACATTATTGTTCTTTTTGGATTCACGATGTCACTTATTCCTTGTATCTTATTCTTCCTCTTAGATGGATCCTATGATACATACAGGAATGACAATCTATTATACTTAGGTACAAATGGTAGGCTTAGCTCCTATATATGTTACTATTAAAAAAATCTTAAAATTATATTTAACCTCGTGAACTAGAAGAGGCACTAAGATGGCCAGAACCAGAGCCTCTCCGGACTAGGGAGAGGAATGCTCCTAGCTGCTCCAAGGGGCGGCGCCTCCCTCTGAGGAGGTTTTGTGGAGGCGCGGCCAAGTTCTATGCACACTGATAGGCAAATGACAGCCCACAGCTGGACTCAGAGGACATAAAAGCAGTTGGTTCACAGTTTGGATGGATGAGAACCATGCCATTATCATTTCAAAGGGGCACTGCCAAGCCCGTAGGTTGGGGGTGATCAAGCCCCAACCGGTAGGCAAGTTGCCACACACAGTGATAAAGGAAATGTGTGCCACGCATACTGCCAAGCCAATTAAGGCAAGTCTCACCCCAGTGGGCGCGTATACGTATCAATATGTATGTGTACATACCTAAACACATAGTACCTACGTATCCGTTGCAGAGTTTTTTGTACTAGTAAGCAAAAAATAACAATATAACTTTCTTTAAATAAAGTGTTGGGAATGTTAAAATTAAGGTATGGAATCTAAATTTAATATTTGGAATCTTCGTAAATTTCCGTAGCCCTATGTAGATCCTATTACCCCCATTCTTCAATGTGGTAGTGCTGCGTTACCTTCCCAAAACAATTATTTTGGTCTTGCACATGCCTTAAAAACAAGGAAGAAGGATATCCTCCTTGCCTGATAACATTCAGACTGTTAAGGAGAGTATTCAGGGTGTTAAATTGAAGCAAAACCCCCAGTACTCATTTCTAGTACTAGTACTATGGGTCCTACTAGTACTACTAGATAAGAGGAGTGGTTGTACGACTAGTAGTACTAGTAATACTACTACTAGTACTGTATGTTAATTTAATGTTCCCAACCCCTGATTTAAAGAAAGTTCAATTGTTATTTTATGTTGCATAAATTTTCCACGCATTGCACACCCCTCTAAATGGTGACCCCTGCTTAGGAATAGGGATGATACAGTTCTAAAAATCCCAACTGTTCAAAACAAAGGGGCACGTCAAAAAGCATGGGGAATTTTAAAAATAAAAGGGAATAATCCACCCCATAAGTTGAAGTTCCCCCATTGACCATAGAATACTCTTACAGCACGAAAAAGATCTTTCTGAAAAATTGTACCTGTACCGTAGAACAGAGAAATGAACACCTGTCACTAGACGGTCGCCGAGCGTACCACCAGTAGTAATTCTTCATGATGATCCAAAACTCTAAAACAGGGGAGCAGCGGGAGCTCGAATTGTTTATCAGGGGAACATCGAATGACCGTGTTTCAATGGGTAGCCGAGCTTACGAGCTGTCTCGAAATACATTAAGAATTAGTGGAAGTACACTAAGACAAAGTGAAGTTAAAGATAGAGTACCGACACACCAACATATTACCGTCAAAGGCAATGTTCGGGAGAAAAATCACCTAAGGCGCAATATTTCCTCTCATATCTTAGGCAGATTCGCATCGAGAAATTTGGCACGTCTGTCGCAGGTTCTGGTGTTGGACAGCCTAGGCGACAAGTTAGACGCGGGTAGAACTAGATAGCGGCCGTGCGATCCAGAACAGATCCGAGAACTTTTGCAATCTCGTAGAAATATAGTATTTTCGACCATGGCATATAACGAGGATTCCTCTGCTTCCGGGCACGATGAACCCTGGATTCAATGGTACGTACTTTGCCAACATTCTTCGGGTGCCATTTTTGTTTCTCGCATGTACGCTCATATTTGCAACTTCGAATCGGTTCGGACACATCGAATCATCTCCTAACGATGCATTGTGCTGTGTGATATTGTGTCGTATCATGCCTCCATGAATCGTTACGATTAGGTTCTGTGGATTGAAGGGGCACGAAATGTTTTGCGAGGTCGAGCGATCCTACATAGAAGATGGATTCAATTTATATGGCTTAAGAACCTGCGTCTCGAACTTTTCTGATTGTTTAGATCTCATTCTAGATCGCATCGGACCGGACGATTCCGATGATTCGCATTTGACACAAAGTGCCTGCACTCTGTATGGACTAATACACGCTCGATACATTATTACAGCCCACGGATTAGATGCTATGTACAACAAGGTACGCAACGGAAGACAAAAAGAACCAGACACACATATCACCAAGAAATCATGTTTTTGAATCTCACAAACTTCTTCTCTTTCTCAACATTTTTCAGTATGCCTCCAAAGAATTCGGCACATGTCCACTTGTACAATGTGCTGGTCAACCGGTCCTGCCAGTTGGACTGAAGGACGAAATGGGAGCCGATACGGTCAAGATTTTCTGTCCTAAATGCCAATGCGTGTACCACCCTCCACCTGTTAGGTCACGAAGTAGTCACCATGGTCCTGCAGGAGCTGCCGGGGTGGACGGCGCCGCATTTGGAACTACCTTTCCTCATTTGTTCCTTATGACATTTAGCAATTTAGTTCCCGATCCGCTGCCGGCGGACTCAGCTTACGTTCCGCGCGTTTTTGGATTCCGGGTGCATATGTCGGCACGCCAGCGCACAATTGGAGGATCAAATGCATCTTTGTCCACTTCTTCCACCCGACAACAACAGCAACTTGAATCAATCACAGCAGAGAATAATAAACGGTCGTCAAATGTGGGGAGGAGGACGTTGGAACAAGACGGCCAAAAAGATCAAGCAACATCCAATCAAAAAGAACGGAAAAGTTCTCTAGTCACGAATTCATTGTCGAATCCTACAAAAGATAAAGACACCAATAGTAAAAAAACAAATTCGGGGAAACGGAAAGATATCGAAAGTGGAAATGGAAATAAGAAGTCGAATGGCGACGGCAGTACATCATCGAAGCGCAGACGCTAGTCAGAAGACGTAGTTGAATGAGAATCAGCAACAGCAGAGGGCATGGGCCAGCTTTCGGGGTAAATATCAGAGACCAAGATGGAAAAATCTGATCTGTCGCTACTTTTCCTTTTTAATAAAACGAATCGAAGTGAACATTTGTACCATGAAATGCAGAAGCAGTTATCTTGGCATGTAAGATTACAGGTATGGAGAAGGAAGATGCCTCGTGGAGATAATAAATTATTTTTTTGCCATGTAGCGATTGCAGCAGCATCTTCTTAGTCGGATGTTCGAGTGCCTCTGAAGGTACATTACACCTTCCTTTGGGTTAAAATGGAAATAACTCGTAGAAGCAACTAGAAAAACTTTCAAACTACCGTTACTGTAGTGTGTCTCTGTATGTAATCTTGAATGCCATTGATGACTGGTACCGCAAAAATATCCTAGCTAATTCCTCCTTCATTCCTCAATACATTCAATTCAACACCTTCCTCGTCGATATTTTTCTCTCGATGAGAATGGTCCTGGCGAATGGCCTGGCTCGGTTTCCAGCGACGGGCAACCCTCGAGAACAGAGCTAGATTCACAAGCATGCATAAAGCACAGGTTATCATGGTCACAGTAGAGCGAAGCTCGCGAAACACAGTAGCAAACAAGACAGAACCGAAACCATCCCCGATAGCGGTCATGAACAGGAATACAGCGAGAATCAGTGCCTGCATGCTATCCGGGGCTTGGCTGTAAGCAAACTGTGAAAAACAAATACACAAAATATTCCACTTAGTTTCTAGGAGAGGATCAAAACAAATAGCACTTTCAAGCATCCACAACTTGGCGGATGTGAATACCAATGCAAAGGAACACGAATAGAATGCAGTATAGAACAAAATAGAATCGACGCACCTCGAGTCCTGTAACATTCAACAAAATTTCTGCTACCGTCAGTATTGTGATCTGCGGTATTTGCCATGCCAATGAAATACTGTTTGGTGGGCTATTTTGTATTGAATATTCCAGTACTGTGCTTGCAAAGAATGCAACTGCCGTGAGAAACATTCCATATTCCATTCTCCTCAGCGGCTGAATATTGAAATCTTTAGCTTCTAGCCACGGATACAGAACTCGGTCAAACAACGGAATAAAAATCATTATTAACAGCGGATTCAGAAACTTCGAGAAGAAGGAAAAGAGAGAAAGGAATAGATTGAAACATAGCAGGTTAGAAAATGTCATTTTACGGCAACGAGAAATAGATCGGTCTGGCCATGACTGCACAAGTCTTTGTCATTCCAATTTAACGTGGTAGTTCACCCAAGTCCAAGTACATGTGACGCATTTGTTGTTGTTTTCGGCAAGTTAAAGACGTACCCCCGATTGTTCCGGTTCCAGACCGTGGCGATCGAGGTGCGTTGCCTGCAACGTCCATACCGATCCCTGCTGATCGTATAGCATCCAAAATACCGGAAAGAAGAGCATCAGAGGCATCAAATGCAAAACTTGTTCCGCATCTCGAAGCACCTGATCACTATGACTACCTAACTTTTCTACTGATTGACCTTCTGTTCGCACTATTCCACCAGGACCTCCGACTTCGAGACAGCTGGAAGCATTAATTGCCGAGGACACAGGTTCTTGGCCCCCAATACTATCAGCGGCAGGACAACTGTACTGGCGGTTTTTTCGGCACAATTTTGTGCATACGATGGCTGAGCAAACATACAGTGTTTGGAACAGCGAGGCCTCAGACGGACCTCTTCTTCTATGCTTGTAAGCCTTCCGTTGCGATAAAAATATGCCGAGAGCTCCAATCATAAACACGGTCGGTATGAAAAATGCAGCAGAAAAACCATAACTTGCTCGAATCATAGGAATGATCGCAAAGGAAAGCAATGCTCCGACGTTGATACAAAAATAAAAGCTATTGAAGAATTCTCGCACACTCTCGTCCTCTTGTTCTACCGGACAGTGATCAGCAGACATAGCAAGTCCTGTTTTTGCTGTCGGTGTTGTCTCCTCAAACGCATTGCCATCGTCCGAAGAAAGTTCTGACCGGTTCTCTTTCTCGACATGCGAGTATATTACTACTGAAGACGATGCGGTTTCTTTTTCAGATTCGTGGGTCGGCAGATGATCAGACCCGAGCACGACTTGGTCAGCACCAAACGCCGAGACACAGGGCTTGATTCCTCCTGTTCCGAGACAAACCAGTATCAGACCGGTGAAACTGAGCGATCGAGCCACCAGTAGATTCGATTCGGAAACAGCAGAATCCGATTCCATTGATGAAAAGGGAAAATCTAATTGGTAGGCACCCAACGCAACTAGAGAGAGCCCAATCGAGTAGACAGCACCAAATCGCCATATCGTGTTGTATCGACCCCAATGATTGTCTGCTAGAAGTGCTCCCAGCAATGGAGACAGATATGCGAGGCCTGTCACAGATGCAAACAAAGAAAAAGACGTCGACTCTGAATATTCCAGGCCTTGATTAAAGTAGAGGACCAGGACTGCTCGAAAGCCGAAGTAGGCTATCCGCTCGGCAGTTTCGGTAACGAGTATAGAAAGAATAACTTTGTTCCGAAAAATCGATTGGTGTTGCTTTCGCTGCTGGTCATGCTTCTCTCCTTCCCACTCCTGTTCGTTGTGATCCAGGTGGTAGGATTCCCTTATGTTGTCAATATGATTGCACTCCTTGTATTCATAGCATAATCCCGAATTCTCCTTCCCTTCGTGTAATACGTCGCAGTTAATCTTCGTCATATGTTTCTATTGTTTATCCTTCTTGTGTGAATGGAAGCACGTTTATTCTGTTGGCGAAGATAGCGTCTCTAACCTGATGTAATTGATTTGTTAATTTCCGGAAGGCAATAAGGTGCGATGGACTTGTTGTGATGGCGGAAGTGTTTTATGTATGCCAATAGTCAAACTGTATCATGATGCTTTAGTTTGTATTTGTTGCTTCTTCGTTTTCTTCTTCGAATCCGGTAGTCTATGATACGATCCGTACAAGTGTGAGGACCCTTTCGGACCGTACGACCCACGTTGTACCGCTAGAGTTCACACTCATACTGTAAGCTTTCGAGAATGATCGAATTGGAACGCGATTCGAGTGAATCAATCAATCGTCTAATCGTCTAATCGTCTAAAACTCTACTCTTACTACAAGTAGAAGTATTGGCGAGTACGGTACTGTTCCTTCCTCCAGTACGTACGTAAGAGTACGTTTCAGTTTTTACTTCGACGTACGGACGGTAACATACTCGTACGATTCCCGCGGCAAGAGGTACCGTATCATCCTTTTGACATGATCAACCTTCAACACAATCATACGAGAACCGATACGAAAAGAATCAACGATCGCCTACGGAAGGGCATCAGTGACAATCGTCCGCTTTCTGTGTTTAGTTCAATTTGCCGTTTGTAATCGTCATTATTTAGTGCAATTCAAACAATCCATAGACTACAAAACTCGCTGCATCATGGAATATAGTTTTTTTTCGATAATTATCGTCTTGGGGTTGTTCGGTATGAACGCAGTCTCGGGATTCGTCGGTACGCATCGATTGTCACCATCGACAAGAGCAAGAATGGAAACCTTCGTGGTCAAAGAGAGAAACCATCCCGCTTTATCCCAGCGACGTTCCGCTTCCCACCTGAATGCTGTCATTGATTCTTCCTCCGTAATAATATCGTCGGAGTCCTGGCGTCAGTACGTCCCCCTAGTTGTTAGTTGCGGGATCATTATCGATATTTTGCTGGGAAGCCCCCTAGCGAACATGGCTCTGAAGCCCATGCGACCGGACAATGGAGCGGACGAGGAAGAGAAGACCAAGGAAGAAAACAAACCGAGGTCCAAGGCACGAATAGATGCGGAGCTGATTGCCCAGCAAGCGCTCGACAAGGCAAACAGTACCATGGAACTGCGAAACTTTTTGGAAGAACGAAAAACGGACTACGATAGAATGGAAGAAATGAAACGGAAACTCGATTCCACAATGCAGGAGCTAGACGAAGACATGGAAGCTAGACAGAAATCAATTGATGCACGAAAGGACCAATAATAAACAAAAGAAATGATCGCGTTCCACGGGGCGCAATCAACGCTAAGCAATGTCAATTTCTCTGGCCATCAAGACACTAAGACACTACTAGGTATCAAAATTGGGTATCATAAAGTAACAACAATTCCATTAACTGTGTAATGTAATACTGATGACCTTTACATGTTATACTGAATGTACATTAACGAAAGGGTGTGTAGTAGGATACGTCACAAGTTCTCTTCGGTGATTGTAATGGTTGCGTTACTAGAAAAGCAGTGTTCACCGTTGGTTCCATTCACCAACTGACTCGCTGAAATGTGGCCAGAGAGGGGCACGTGACAGACCTTTGGTCCATGCAAGCTAGTGCTTCGAAATGATCGAGACGAAGAACTGCGGTAATGATCACACAACCTTCGGTGGCAAAAAGGTAAGTCTTTGAAGTCTGAGGAAGTAACAATGTGTCCGTTCGAGATCGCTCGTTTTGAATCAGTGCCGTGGGAAGAATCCAAAGATGAGCCTTGTCGACACTGACTATGTTTTCTTATTGAATCAGTTTCTTCGGTACTATCTCGAATGTGTTGTGAATGTTTTGAATGGATTTCATGTCGGTGACACTGCATGCTGTGACGCATGCCATTTGCCATGCTCGGCGGAAATGGATCGCACAAAGAATCATTGTATTCCCTGCGAAAACCATCATAGTTCATATGTTGTTCCCATCCGGTACCAGGGGCTGGCAACGCATCGTGATGAAAGGTTGTACTATGGTGACAATTTTGACTTGAAGGAAATTGATGTGTAGTAGTTCTTGTGGGAATAGCGGGAATGACAGTGCTTGATGTTTGAGAGTTTTTCATCGCATCGCAGGCAGTCGATCCACTTCGGGACGTTTCAGTGAACGCATCACATGGATACTCATCTGATTGGATTAGCACTCGTTTCAAATCGGAATCTCTCGCATTGAGAACATCATTTTGGACATAATCCCTACTACCTCTGCTGCTTCTTGTTGCACTCGATCTGTTCTCGGCACTAATAGGAAGTTCTAAAATCTGTCCAATCATTGATGGAACTTCATTTACTTCTCCGAATAATTCCAGTTCTAACTCGCGATGAAATTTTTCAATTTCGTACATGGAAGGTGTGCACGAATAGGTGTCCTCTATCGTCGTGGCACCCAATGTGAGGTTGTCATTCACTGAGACCTGTTCGTCATCATCCCTGCGTCCTTTGCTAACTTCAAAAACTTCGAATGCATCGTTCATTGATTCTTCTGGCTCCCTAATAAGAATGTCTGGTTTATCATTTTCATTTTTTACTGAAGCACATAGCGTATCTTCTATGGGTTTTTGGTCCATTTGGTCCATTGTAAAGGTTTGTGATACTACCGATTCCAGTTGTCCATTTTTCGCTTTCTTGGTTTCTCTTGCCGATAATATTGCTCTTTTGAGACGTGATGAAGTAGATTCAAAGGCCTCTTCGAATTTTGAATATTTCCTTGAATTCACTACTGTTTGCTTTCTTTGTAACTTCGTTTTATTTGCAGCGCGTGTACTTGCTGCGATAACTTTCGCACCTATGTTCCATTTCAACAACAGAGCTTCTCTTTCGCTCCTGCTAAGAACAAAGTCTAGGTAGAACCTTCTATTTCCCCTTTTTTGTTCAAATTCATCTATGTTAATTTGATGCGTTTCTCCATGCATCCACCCAATACTGATTGATACGATATTTGACGACAAAGAGATTCACTGAAATTAGATTTTAATGACCACGTGCTTGTTGTGATACAGTACTGTAATGGGCTATCCTCTACCACGATAAAATAAAACAAATTGCAATAGAAACACAGAAAGAATATCGAACTTTGTGAATTCTCCTATATCTTGTCTTACCCTACTGGTGGTCCGGAACTGCAGCAAGGGTTGTCACTTGCTATCCTTTCGTACTGGCGAATCTTCACAATATCAAATCGAACCTTCTTTGACCGAGAGGAACACCCGCATGTCGTGGCTGTTTTTTCGGCAAAGGAGTCCACACTATGCGATCCTCCTTTTGAATATGCATTGAAATCTCGCTGAGAGTGTCTAGCGTTGGAGAGACAATTATCTGTGTCACGAACTGGGTTCTTCGGACAGCTGATCGACAATGCTGAACTCCGCTGATATTTCTTAGATTTAGCGACGCTCAAGCTCAGTCTTACACCGTTAAGCGTTCCATCTTTTTGCCCTCTTTGTATTTTTTCCTTCAATAACTTCATCATGATTCATCAATATGACCAATCCGACATGCACAACGCTCAATGCAAAATGCGATGGATAATTCGTGCTTACTCAGTTCATTACTGTATCGAAACTATGGGGTGGTTGATGATTCATAATTTTTTGACGAGAAGGTCTCATTTTCTACGGTTTACGTCAAATTATTTACCTTCAAAATAGTTCCGTTTTGTGATCGTTGATACGCGTTCTTCGAATGACATTCAAAATATGACAGGAATCATACGATGTTGGTGTTGGCGTCAGAGAGAACAAAGAATAAGAACTCATGTCCTGTAATTGCGATGGAAAAAATAAATCTAGTCCACAAATCCAAAGGTGAATTTCTTAAGTAAGCGTTCGATTTTCATTGTATTCAAAATACAACCAATCATGAGTTCAAGTACAGTAAGTACTTCCCGTAAAATAACAATTGAACTTTATTTAAATAAGGGGTTGGGAACGTTAAATTAACATACAGTACGACCTCTCTCAGAAATGAGTAACAGCGGTTTAACGTCCTGAATGCTCTGCTTAGAGCTACTAAGTACGGGCCCCATAATGGCAAGTTATTGGCAATCCCCGTACAAATACTAATAGAAATTTTTAGCTCATTTTTACAGTTAAAACCAGTTAAAAAGGGCATCCAATGGACGAAAATAAAAATATTTCCATTGTTTAATTTCTCGCTAGTCCCAAAATATTTCTATTGGTGGTCCTTAATATTCGAGATAAGCACTTATTTGATGTTCCCACTAGTAAGGACCAGGAATAGAAATATTTGCGGACTTCAGAGTTTTTTGTGTGGATGGGGGGAGAGGGGAAATGGAGACGGGAAAATGAGAAAAAATTGACGTACAGAAATTGCCAATAACTTGCCGTTATGGGGCCCGTACTTAGTAGCTCTAGCTCTGCTGGAGGTTGTGTTAATGAGTTTTTGCCAGTTTTTGGTGTGTGATATCATAATCGGCGAGCTACTCGCCGCTTACGTGTAATCTCGTGCTCGACCACACATAATTTTCTCCTTAAGGAATGTTTTCGAAGGTTTTCCAGAGTACGGATCAGATTACATACGGATTACTTCAGCAATCAGCACTTCAACTGAGTCTAACAAGGTCTCGAGCTCCGCTCTCGACCTTGTTAGACTCAGTTGAAGTGCTGATTGCTGCTGGACTGCGAGTAGCTCGCCAATTATTTACGCAATCCTCTAGTTGCTCGCTTTTCACGTGTAATCACTGTGGCAAGCGCTGCTCTCATTGAACAAGGAGCTAGTATTTGGAGCCCCCCTCAATAGATTCTTCAGCCGTTGTTTTGAAAAGGAGCTTATATACGACTGCTAATTTCAAATAACAATTCTTTACTGCTGATTCTTACAAAATATCTGTTGTCACAAAATAGACAAGAAGAAAAATCGATTTACTACATAATAACACAGGACGTCTGTACTCCTCGACGCGCCTCCTCGATCTCCTTCAAGCGCTGTGACATTTTCAGTTCATTTTCAAGCTGTGCTCTTTTGCTTTTTTCCCAAGCAAGCTCCTTTTKGTTGTACTCTTCTTTTGCCTCCTGGATTTTTTCAGATAGCTTCCTCTGTTGCAAATCATCAGTGAGGATCAAAAGCTTGTTGTTTAGCTCAGCGATTTGCTTTTYGGAATCCTCCAGTTGGCATCRAATCCTCTTTGCTGCTCTCTCAAAATCATCCGATACATCTTTCATCTTTGCAGCTTCCCTTCTTGCCATGACGAGCTGTTGCTTCAAAATTCCCTTTGTAGGTGTAATTATCTCCTTTGTACTAGTAAGGAGACTTCTTCCTCCAGCTGGTGGCAAGGATGCTGCTGCAATTGCTACCGTATCTGCAGCAGGAGAAGAATAGGCAAGTGCTACTTTGTTGCTGTTGGTACTAGTACTACTACTAGCGGATCTTTCGGATTTTTCTTCCGACACCGCAAAGACCTCCTTTTTATCCCCTCCAGCCTGCTTTGCTGTTGCTTTTGAGCTTCCTCCTGAAGTTCCCTTCTTGTTAGTACCGTGAAGCCCACCATGAAGCACACCTTGTACAGCTTGTTGAATTACTGAATTTTGATGAATATATGGCTCTGCAGACTTGCTACTCTTGTGTCTGAGATGGTTCATTCTCATCTTTTCTGGAACAGCAAGGTCTGATGCAAGGATTGTGCAGCATCTATGCCTGTTGTCATGTGGTGTATACTTCTCCCAATCCTTGAAATCAGCTACTTCAGCAAACTCTTTAACCCAAGCTCTAACTGATCCTACTCCCACGGGAGATGAGCTCTTGAAAKAGTATGGGTTGCTCYTCTTTTTCTTCAAGTTAGGATGACAAAGGAACCTTGCTTGCTTCGGATYRCACCTAGACCTGTAGAAGTTCATAAGCTTTACRATGCAATTWGGATTGTCTGGATCTTCAACAACTGAAGGAAACTGCTTAGTTGCAGTCGGATTATTCAGTGAAAGCTKGTGTGACTTATCAAACCCTCCTCCTGGAGCAATGATTACATACTYTAATCCTTTCATATTACCATTGTYGAAGGTTCCCATTTTTACATGTGTCCACATCAGTCCAACAAGCTCCGATCCTCCCCTTATTCCAAACTGTCTTCCAAGCTCCATTGCTATTAGCTTTAGCAAGTCCTGGCTATTGTCRTAAGGCTTGTAAGTACCATCCGTCAACACTTTACGGAATTTTTCATCAACAAACTCATCAAACTCYGCTTTGGTCCTCTTGGTTCCAATGGAAGGATCAGCTGAAYGCTTTGAATTATAGTCATGCTTAAGGAATGCAAGGAAGCCCCCCTTTGTTCTAAAATCTCCTTCCTTGAACCTAACATCTCTCTCATGAAGAGCAACGAAGAGCTGTCGGACCCTGACACTCA